GCTCTACTCAAACAGCTCCCTTCACCTAAATTCACATTTAGTCAGACATCTACCATTCTCACCAACCAGCACCAACTTGGCCCTGAAACACCTCAGACGTGGGTCGTGCTGCCCGGGCCAGGCCTGCGACCAGGGAGACCCTGCGTTTCCCGCCCGAGGGGGCTGGCGACAGAGGTCTGCTGCCGCTGAGCTGGGAGGCCGGTTACACTGTGCAGTATTTGTGAGCGAGCGAGCGAGCGAGCGAGGGAGGGAAGGAGTGGGTGCACAAGTGAGTAGTGAGTGAGTAGTGAGTGAGTGTACGATTGAGTGAACGAGTGAGTGAATTGTGAGCGAGTGGATGGACGGGTGGATGAATTAGTGAGTGAGTGAGGAAGTGAGTGGATGGGTGGACGGATAGATGAGTGACTTAACGAGAGAACAAAGGAACGGATGAGTGAGTGAGCGAGTGATGGACGGGTGGATGAATTAGCGAGCGAGTGAGCGAGTGAGCGAGTGAGCAAGCAGGTGAAGGAAGGCAGGGAGGTGACCACGGCCCTGCTCCCGCCCACGTCCTTGAGGACAGGGACATCGCTTTGCAGATGGCCCGGGGCCGTCCCGCCCGCAGCGTGAGGAGAAACCAGGCCGCGGTCTCAGCCCGTCTGTCCTCATTCCTGCCGAGCCGAGGACAGTTTATATATTTTTGTGACAAACTTCAAAATAAGTCTGAGCCACGTGCCCGTGCATAGTGTCGCCGTCCTAGAAAAAGCACACGTGCTGGACTTGAACTACGTCCGCTCTGGCGGGCCGCTCGGGTTGTGTCTGTGGCACCAAGCGATGTAAAGTCGTGGCTGAGCGAGGCGTCCCCTGAGTCAGCAGTGGCGGTGACTTCACGAGGAGCCCTCGGGAGGCGACAGGGACGGAAGCCATGTGTGCAGAGTGCCCTGCTGTGAGGCTCATCTCTGCAAGGAGAGGTGACAACCAGTGAGTGTCCTGGTCCTGTCGCCCTGCTGAGGAGCCTCGTTGCCTGGCAACCCCGGCTGGGAAGACCACGTGTCTGAGCGCCTCACCGGGAAGGAATCCAGACCCGGCCGATGTCCCCACGTCCCAAGGCAAGGGTGTTCTAGCAGTGACGGGAGATCGGGGTGGATTGGCTGTTCCCTCTTCTTGCTTTTCCCACATATTTGAACCCAGAAATCCTGAGGGGGGACCCACTGATCTCCGAGGCTCAGAGGCCTTCCTTGCAGCCGGACGGCATTGGGACTGGGAGCGAAGAGACCCCCACCGTTTACCGGCCTCTTACCGTGACGGGCGCTGTCTCCGCTATTGTCACATTTTTTGGTGGTTGTTTTGGAAACAACCCCGTCAGAGCAGCCCTGTGTTCCTCCCCAGTTTACAGATGGCAAAACCGAGGCTCAGAAGTGAAGTAACCCGATCCAGATCCCCAGAGCCTGCATTTAAAAAGTCACACATGGTGGCACACGCCTGTAATCCCAGCTACTCAGGAGGCAGAGATCAGGAGGATGGAGGTTCTCAGCCAGCCCCAGCAGATAGTTTGCGAGACCCCATCTCGAAAAAACCATCCCAAAAAAGGGCTGGTGGAATGGCTGAAGGTGAAGACCCTGAGTTCAAGTCCCAGTGCCACCAAACACAGCAGAAAAATGTCACACGGAGAAGCTGCAGGCACAGCAAGAAGCGTTCCGCCGATCGGAGATGATCTGTGGAAGCTCTGTGGCTTCTGAGTCGTTTCACATTTCCCACAACCAGCCGCGGGGGCCGACGGAACCACAGACGGTAAAATCGGAAACTAATGGGGTCGCGGCTCTCGGGGAACCCACAGCGAGGGTTCCGTCCTGTCTCTCAAGTCCTCCCGTGACCCTTGCGCCCTTGGCGCTGCTCCTTTTTCGGGTTTGTCCGAATGCCCTGCTGACAGTCCTTTGATGGGGACGTCACCAAAGCGGTGCTGTGGACTTCTCAGTGTCCCTCCCAGTGACAGTCACTTCTGTTCCCTTCTGACAGTGTGTGCTAGGGTTTCATTATGCAGCTCCTTGTCTCCACTTCCCAAGTGCTGGGATTACAGGCGTGCGCCACTGTGCTGGGCTAAGAGCCTGCACTCAGCCACCCCACAACAGCCAGTCCACAAAGGTCCTTTCTCCAAAAGCCACACGGTGAGGTGCATTTGCTGAGGAAAACCCACTAGCTTGAGATCCACAAGCTCTGTCCGCCCAGCCTGGAAAAGCCGTCGACACAGTTCCACAAAAGCCAAGATCCCTTCTGGGTTTGGCTCCGGCCTGTGTCCACTTTGGTCACTGGTGCGTGGTCTTCAGAGGACCCTGGCCGACAAGATCACAGGTTCTTCCATCTTGGAGCAAAGCATTGGACACACACGCGAAACCATAGCGAAATTTTCTTGGAGAGCAAAGGGAAGTAAGTACCCCAAAAGAGCGGGTGGGCCCTGGCCTCGTGGCAGGGAAGCCCCGTCTTTGTTCAAAGGGCAGTTAATAGGTCGTAAGGGCAAAGGGCGTGGAAAATCTGGAAGGTCTTTGTGGAGGGGACGGGGTGGTTGACAAGGTCTTGGGTACAGCGTGGGGCGTCTGCACACGCACTTGGCTGATCCCGGGTTTCAGTGCGTGCGTGAGCTGTGGCTCATGTCCACAAGGTTTTGAGCAGCCGGCTTCACCTGAGGTCACAGAGATTGACAGAGTCCCCTTCCCTGGGCATGCGCCATCTTCCGGCCTGAGCCCAGGAAGACCTCACGTCTGCAGAGCTGAAAGGGACTCACGGCTGAGGGGACGTCCCAGGTGTGCTGGGTGGGGACAGGCAGGGGTTCAGCACTGCTAAAAGCAGTGGTGCCAGCTCTGGTCAGGTTTCCAAATCCTTTGTGTCCCACATGGAAGGACCCACGGCAGGACACGCGGGAGTCCAAGGAGTTTATTGGAAGTCCGGGAAGGGGACACGGTGGGACCAGGTGGGAGCTGGAAGCAGAGAGAGCGACTCGCTCTTAAAAGCTATGGCAACCTATGCGAGGGGAGAACCCGGTAATTCCCAATCAGTGATCAATGACGGGAGGGACACAGGGGCCCCTGGGCCAGGGGAGGCCCTGCACACATTTGCAAAGGAAAAGAAGGAATTTTTCCTTCCTCGCTCCTCAGAGAAACAGGAATGTTCCATCTGAAAATCACATTTTTCAAGAGTCTCCAGTGTTCCCTAGTTGTCGCCTGCCTCCCTGTGGCCTTCAGTGGGGGAGGACGGTGTCCCATGGCCAGTTCTGTCCTGTTACAGCCTAGCCGGCCTCTGTGTGAGGCCGAACTCAAACATTTTCTTGGGCTGGAGAGTGGCTCAAGTGGTAAAGTGCCTGCTTAGCAAACACGAGGCTCTGAGTTCAAATCCCGGTACTCCCCCCAAAAAACCCCACAGAAACAAAAGTCAAAGCGCTTTCTCTCCACTCCCCCGCACTTCTGTGCTGAAACCCCGTCTCCCGTTCCGCCGAGTTCATACCAGGTCACAGGCACAGCGACTCCACACTCACGGGGAGGCAGAGACGCTTAGGTCACGGTCCCCACGCACGAAGGTCCTCAGAGGTTCTCCTTTAACTCGTAGCAACCCTGCAGGGGGCACGAAGTCTTCAGGCCCCTGGCGCACACCGACAGTGGCCTCTTGTGTCTTCTCAGAGGAGCGACTGTAACAAACCCCTCCCGACTCACACCCCAAAGCCCCTGCTGTGGCCAGCCACAGTCCTCATTCCCCACGCCTCCTCTCACTGAATTCTCGGCCATTTTGCAGAAGAGGAAACTGAGCCTGGGAATGAGGTAATGATTTGCCCAAGGCCCACAGCCCTGCTGTTGCACAGCCAAGATCAGAACTCCGGGGGCTGTGTGCGCTTTCTTCCTTTGTAAAAATGTTGGGATATTTGAGACGGGGCCTCTTGCTATGTAGCTCAGGCTGGCCTGGAACTCAGAATTCTTCTGCCTCATCCTCCCCCGTGCTGGGATTACAGGCATGCACCACCACACCCAGCCCCGTGTGCTTCCCTGGGAGCACGGTCCCTGTGGTCTAAACTCCAGGTCTAGCACATAGGCTGTCAGCACATTTTAATCAGATCAGGAAAGAGCTCCTGATGGAGAGGCAGATAACGGACGTATCTCCTGGAGAGGACACTTGCGCACTCTCGAGCCGGCCCCGCCTTCCTTCCTTCCTTCTCACACAAGGCACCCATGGCTCTGTGTGAACTGGCTTATCCCGAGAGCCCGGGACACTGGAGACACTTTTTCTCTCTCTTTATTCTCATCTGGGTGCCATGTCCTGGGCCCACAGTCTCTATGAGACAGTCCTGTGCCCTTTTTTTTTTTTTTTTTTTGGTGGGACTGGGATTTGAACTCAGGGCTTCACACTGGCAAAGCAGGCGCTCTACCACTTGAGCCACCCCTCCGGTCCATTTTGCTCTGGCTACTTTGGGGATGGGGTATCCAGAACTATTTGCCTGAGTGGCCTTGAAGCTCGATCCTCCGGATCTCAGCCTCTCGAGTGGCTGGGATTACAGGCTTCTGTGTCTGTGTGCGCGCGCGGGGTACTGGGGCTTGAACTCAGGGCCTTCACCTTGAGCCACTCCATCAGCCGTTGTGTGTGTGTGTGTGTGATGGCTTTTTCGAGGTAGGATCTCGACACTATTTGCCCGGGCTGGCTTCGAACCGCGATCCTCCTGATGTCTGCCTCCCGAGTAGCTGCCCTGACAGGTGCGAGCCACCTCGCGCAGCTCCTGCATTCTTTTAGAGATTTAGCTTCTTCTCAGCTGGCAAAGGAGCCTCCTGAGGCCAAGGGGGCTCAGCGACGTCACCAGTCAGCCCAGGCTGGACGAGGCGGACGCGAAAGGGAGGACAGCTCGGGCGGAGAAGGACACGCCAACCATTCCACACCGGGGCGGGGTCAGCCTGGCTCTAGCGTCCAGCGGTTGCCACGGCAGCCGCGCGGCATTTCCGCTGTCGAGTGGCGTCACTTCCGGCGCGCCGCAGGTACTTCCGGGTTCCGGCTGCCAGCGCGCAGTTGGTCTGTGGGCGGCCGTCTTGAAGCGGTTTTGGTGCGTCGGACGCCTGGGAGAGGTGAGCGGGGGTCGCGGGGGTCGCGGGGGTCGGGCCGGGGAGGGGGCGGCGGCGGCGTCGCGGGGCCGGGTGTCCGGGGCGCGGTGGGTGCGGGTCCCGGGACGTGGACGGGGGCCTGCCCTGCACCGGGTCCTCGGCGGGGCTGGCTTCGAACTCGGGCCCGGCTCCCAGGTCTTTACCGCCCCGCTAGGCCGAGCGGCCATTGGTCACCAGCAGGTAGACAAAGGCGCGTGTAATCAGGCAGACGTCAGCCCCGCGGCTGCTCCGCGGCCGCTGAAAGGCGGCGCCGCCCGGGCTTCGGCCTTCGGTTGAAGCAGAGGCAGTTGAACTCCCAGCCGCCCTCATGTCGCAGCCCACTGTCGTGACAGCCCAAAAACATAAAATAGAAAAGATGAGGAGCCTGGGCTGGGCTGTGGCCCGAGGGGCAGAGCGAAGCCCCAAGTTCAGACCCTAGTGCCGACCCCAGCACAAGGCCACGCAGACGGGGCCTGTCCCCAGGCAGCCGTCGGGGTTTCATCAAGTGATGTTCCGGAAACATTTCCTGGGCTTTCCTGGGACAGGCAAGGGCCCAGATGGAATCCTTTCCTCAGTAGTAGGAAGAGGAGTGAAGCCCGACGAGCAGGAAGAGCCACCGTTTCTGAGGCTGGTCTGCCCTGGACACCTGGTTACTTCTGGGGTTTTGTGAGTATGACTTTATGATGGGCTGGGCCAAGGAAATCACGGATTTGAAGAAACATGTAGACTGCTGGGCCAGTCCTTTTTTTCATCCGTTTTAGTACTGATTGTTTTCCGTAGTGTGGGTGTTTTTGTTTGTTTGTTTTGTTTTTTTTGGTGGCACTGGGGTTTGAACTCAGGGCCTCCCACTTGCCTGGCAGGTGCTCTATCTCCTGAGCCTCTCCACCAGCCCTAGTTTGGGTTGTGTATTTTTGACACAGGGTTTTATGAACTCTTTGCCTGGGCTGCCTTCAAACTGCAGCCCCCTGATTTCTGCCTCCTGAGGAGCTGGGATTACAGCGTGAGCCAGTGGCGCCTGGCTCCAAGTGTTTTTTTTTTTTTTTTTTGGTGGTATGGGGTTTGAACTCAGGGCCTTGTTTTCGCTACGCAGGTTCTCTATACTTGGGCCCAGGCCTGTTTTGTGTGTTTTTAACATCTACTTTATTGAATAGTAGCAGCAAGTTTAATGGGCTTTCAACTTGGAGACCGTTCTGGAGGCAGCTAGGAATGGCCTCCTGCTGCTCTGGACTTCCACAGACTTTGCCCTTCTTGTCTCTGTTTAGTGACTGACTGGCCATGTCGCTGTCCCACTTGTACCGGGACGGGGAGGGCCACATGGATGACGACGACGATGAGCGGGAAAACTTCGAGGTCACTGACTGGGATCTCCAGAATGAGTTCAACCCCAACCGGCAGCGCCACTGGCAGACCAAGGAAGAGGCCACCTATGGGGTGTGGGCTGAGCGTGACTCAGATGAGGAGCGGCCCAGCTTTGGGGGCAAACGGTATGGCCTGCTACACACCGCGAGCCCTGGCCTTGGGGTGGGGCGGGGGAATAGAAGGGGAGGGCCCCGATTCTTCTCCTCACTGGTGTTATTGAGTCCCTTAACTGCCATGTCAGCTGGGCGGGGTGGGGATGGAGGCCGTTCCTTCATTGAATTCAGCCACAGTCCATGCTCAGTGAGCAGCAGTGGGCCTTGTGCAGGGCCTTGCCGTCCTGGAGCCCAGGCTCTGGCAGATGGTGGCAGGCATTAGTGACCAGTGCAGACAGGCCAGTTTCCTAACTGTGAGCTAGGTTGGGAGGGAGAGCAGGGGTGCCCCAGATGGGGGTCAGAAAGTTTCCTTGGAGAAGCAGCCCTCAGGCTGAGGCTGTTGCCGGCAGGGGTGGGTGGGGAAAGTTGAGAAGGATTTGTGGCAGGTGGTTTTGGGATGAGCCTTTGCTGGTGTGCAGAGGAGGCGGGAACCACATGGGAAGGAGCTCTGTGAGAAGACTGAGGCTGTGGTCCCACAGGGGTGGTGATGGGGCCCAGGCTAAGATGGTGGCAGGGAGTGAGGGTCCAGGCTGAACTCCTTCCCTGTGTGGGTCACGTGTATGCTGGCCTCAGCTCACCTGGCCATTGTGGCAGATTTGGGCTTGTCTCTTCTGGTGGCCCTGCCCGTGAGTCCCAGCTCTGCCCCTCTCAAGGGACCCTTTCACAAGAGAGACTGGGGAGAAAGTGAGGGGTCAGCCCAGCTTTGCTCACCCACCAGGACGTCTAAAAGTGTAAGAACAACACAAGCGTCTGTTGGCTGCTGACTTGTCTGGGCCCTCCAGAGCCTGCTGTCACTTGCCCTGTGGAACAGGCTCACTGTTATTCCTAATTTACAGAGAAAGAAACTGAGGCCAGATGTGGCATAGGCAGGGAAGCTGCACTCGAATCTGGGACCGGTCTCTTTCTCTGTCTTTGTCTCTTTTTGGTGGCACTGGGGTTTGAACTCAGGGCCTCACATTTGCAGGACAGAGGCTCTACCACTTGAGCCTCTCCGCCAGCCCTGGATTTGGTCTTAACCACGGTTACATTGTGTTTTTAGGAAAGTCCCGTGACTTCTGCTGCCTTGGGGCTGTTGTCACTGGGCATCACTGGATCTTGCAGTTTTTTCTTCCTGTTCCTTTAGCCACAAGGAACTGAGGTCAAAGATTTACCATGCATCTGGCTCCTAACGTACTGAGGTTAAGTCGCCACGTGTCAGAATTAGTTTCCTATGGTATTTTGGTGAAGTTTTCACGTGAATTTTAAGTTTGGTTAGTGTCGCTGTTAATGTACTTTTATATAGTCTTTAATGAATCTCATTTGTGTATGACTTTTATGTACCTTTGTACTCTTGTTTGCTTTTTACAGTTAACAGTGTATAAAAACCATGATTTTGAAGGGAATAAGTTTTGAAAAATGTAAGTGGAAAATTAGATTATCACATCACTTCTGGCTTTTTTATCTTTTTGGTGGACCTGGGGTTTGAACTCAGGGCAAACCCCTAGGCAGACTCTTTACTGCTGGAGCCACTCCAACAGCCCTTTTTGTGATGGGCGTTTTTGTGTTTGGGTCACACAAACTATTTGCCCGGGCTGGCTTTGAACCAGGATCCTCCTGACCTCTGCCTCCTCAGTAGCTGGATTATGGGTGTGAGCCACTGGCGCCCAGCTCACATCACATTTTGAGTTTAAAATCAGCTCTCGTTCAACATATTGATAAGTCTCAGGCATAGATTTGAAGTGAGCACAGCAGTAAGAATGTCAGCTGCGATCACACGTAACCAGGTGTGACCTGTAAGTAAACACGTTACTCTGTTCAACGTGGATCTGGGAGATACGGTGACCTACAGGATCCCTAGGATCCCCATGCAGGAGGGGTGGCTGTAGAGCTGTCCTCACAGACCTGTGGTCTGTCTGCAGGGCCCGGGACTACTCCGCCCCTGTCAGCTTCATCAGCGCAGGGCTCAAGAAGGGGGCGGCTGAGGAAGCGGAGTTGGAAGACTCTGATGATGAAGAGAAGCCCGTGAGGCAGGAGGACTTCCCCAAGGATTTCGGACCCAAAAAGCTAAAAACGGTAGAGTTCTTCTGCAGATGGCCTCCCAAGTGCTGACCTGCCCAGGCCCTGTGGCCCAGTGCCGGGGTTTCACGCTTTCCTTCCTGGTGCGCGTGCATGCATGTGTTGGGGGTGGGGTGCAGCCTCTTCTTTCCCAACCCGCGTCACTCAAGTATCTTTTGTTCCTATGGCATCTTTCACAATGCTCTGTAACTCCAGGCCATCTTCTCAGTTTTGTTCCCGTCACCTTTCCCCTTGCAGGGCGGCAACTTCAAGCCCAGCCAGAAGGGCTTTGCGGGCGGAACCAAGTCCTTCGTGGACTTTGGCAGCTGGGAGAGGCACACGCGTGGCATCGGGCAGAAGCTGCTGCAGAAGATGGGTTATGTGCCTGGGCGGGGCCTCGGGAAGAACGCACAAGGTGAGGCCTCAGCACCTGGTGTCGGGACTGTGCGGGGCCCGAGGGAGTCCTCCTTCCCAGCTTCTCCCCTCTAATGAGCCCTTTAGCTCTGCAGCCTGGTGGCGGCCAGCAGAGTCCACTCCTCAGTGCCTGGCTTTTTCAAGACCCAGGTCAGATAAAACTTGTTTGAGGGAGAAGAGCATGAGGGCCTGAGCCAGGTGATGGCCGGGCCAGTGCTTATAAAAACTGAGTTAGTTGTCAGTGTTTAAAACACAGCTTCACCTAATACTCCAGGTTTGCATGGCCGTGACCTAGCTGTGCCCTAGCTATCCTGGGACTGCAGGTGGACTTCCCCCAGAAGCAGTGCCCACACTGTTGTCTGCACCCCACTCCCCGAATCATTCTCTTCTGTGAGCTTCCTGGGCCCTGCAGAAGCCTGAGAGGGTTTTGGTTCCTGGGCAGTCACCTGTCCTTCGGAACATGACTAGCCAGTGAGCGTGGCTGTGCAGTGGCCAAGCAGACCCTGCCTTGCTCAGTGCACGGCTGCTGCCCTCACACAGCCCCTGCCCACAGGCCCGAGCCATTTCCCATGGACGGCCCCACTGGAAGTGGTCTGTCACTCATATCCTGTCTCTGAGTGGCTGTGAGTGAAACTCAGTGTTGAAGACGTGAGCTGGAAGAATCCAGAACTGAGATCTCAGCAGTACTCAGTGGGGACGGAGGTCATTGAAATGTCAAGTCCTGACATTTCAAACTGATGAGATTACTTCCAGGTTTACACGGTGTCACCTGATCCTGGCACTGTGGCCCGCCAAGAGCGCAGACGAGGCTCACAGCACCTGCAGCTCCCTTAAGTCAGAATCGGTATTTACGTGAGTTACTGCACTCACTGTAGCTCCGGCTTCTGCGTGAGTGGAGTGCTAGGTTCAGTATGGCCAAAGCTCTCAGTTATAAACAAGTTCTGTTTCCGTCCCTTCCACAAACAGACAGTTACAGCAGAAGTAACTGATGTAAATGACCGAGATCAGCACCAACACCCTGCAGTGGCCCCAGGACAGAGCAGGGCAGGGCGCCCTTCCTGACCAAGGCGTGGTCTTGCGACAGGAGCTGCTGGGTCTGAAGTCTCTCTCCTGTTCTTTTCCCACGCTGCCAGGTATCATCAACCCCATTGAAGCCAAGCAGAGGAAGGGAAAGGGCGCCGTGGGGGCCTATGGCTCTGAGCGTGCCACTCAGTCTCTGCAGGACTTCCCCGTGGTGGACTCTGAAGAGGAGGCCGAGGAGGTGACCACAGGGCAAGGATGCAGGCGGGGGGTATCTTGTGCCACTGTAGCTGGCTGTCCCTCACTTGGGCCTCTTGTCAGTCTCCGTTGTGCCAGGTTCCATGCTGGATGCTGGCTGTGCCAGGCTGGACGGGCAGTGAGCCTGTGGGCAGTCACGATGTGCACAGGCAGCTGTGGTGTCACACGGGGAGGGAGTGCTAGGAAGCACCTGGATAGAGTTACTGCCCTCCACAGTGTGGCTAGCGAAGACATCGTGACACTAGTGCACTAGTGACAGGGAGGTGGAGAGGCCGGCAGCTCTGAGGGACACACTCTGACCTCCATAGTGAAGGGACTGTAAGGGAAGCCACTGTGGACAGGGGATAAACAGCACTCACAGGTGGCAGCCACTGCACGGGGCCCTGATGGCCATGGGCACCCTGGTGCTGCAGGGAGCCGTCTGCTGGCAGCCTGTCCTAGTTTGAAGTATTACTTTGCACTCCATGATTGTGAGGAAGAGCAGGATGCTGAAAGAGATGCTGACCTTCCTCGAGGAAGAAGGTGCTGACAGTGTGGGACTGACACTGTCGGGCTCTCAGACCAGCAACCGACAGGTGTCAGGCCTGTGCAGCTGTGTGGTGAGCCGCTGTGCACACAAGGGTGGCGGGGCTGTTGAAAGGAGGCAGCTCTCCCTCGATTTTTCTAGAGCCACCACAAGTCCACGCACTTGTAGTACTTTTCACTTTATTTTAGTTATTATGATACTGGGTTTGAACTTAGGGCCAGGCAGGTCTACCACTCAAGTCACATCCCAGCCCCAGACACTTTTTGAGAAAAAAATGATAGCTTAAACCAGTGTGGGGAAGAGAAAATAGGACTGGGGCATGGCTCCAGTGGTAGAGAAGCCTGAGTTTAATCCCAGTGGCCCTCCTCCCCTCCCTTCCCCCAAAAGAAAAGTATCCTGACTAAGAGTACAGGGCAGAAAAGCAAAGGCAGCTGGTTAAAATGCTGTTCCAGGGAGCAGCTCGGGCTCAGTGCTTGCCCAGCATTTGCAAGGCCCTGGGTTTGGTCCCCAGTACCACAGGTAATAAAATAAGAAATGAAAGCAAAGCCGGGCACCATGGCTCATGTCTGTAATCCCAGATACTTGGGAGGACTGGGGTCAATGCCAACCTGGGCAAATAGTTCTCCAGACCCCATTTCCAAAATCACCAGAGCAAAATGGAATGGAGGTGTGGCTCAAGCAGTAGAGCGCGTGCTTTGAGAGCGTGAAGTCCTGAATTCAAACCCTGGTCCCAAGAAAAGAACCACAAAAATAACCCCAAAACCAATTCCTGAGTGTTGGGCCGTAGATTTTCAGCTGACAGCTTCCTCCCCGCAGAGACGTCTATGCACCTGACCGCAAATGCACCTTTGCTTTGAGACACAGGCTCGTGTTTAGAACCCAGGTTCAGTGTACTTAGTCCTTTGTGTTACATTTAAAACCAATGTGGTGCCAGACTGGCAATGCTTGGCAAATGGCGCTGTTATCTTTGGTTTGTTTTCTCCTCTCATTGTGTGCCTGAGGGCAGAAAGTGTCATCAGGTGGTCTGTCCTTCACTTGGAGCCCGGTGTCAGTTGACCCACGGCTGTGGCTGGGGACTGTGTGCTCTGGCCTCGGTGGCCCCAGCTGCTGTGAACGGCACTTGCTGTGACTGACTGTGTCCCTCTCCCTGTATCAGGAGTTTCAGAAGGAGCTGAGCCAATGGAGGAAGGACCCCAGCGGGAGCAAGAAGAAGCCCAAGTACTCCTACAAGACGGTGGAGGAGCTGAAGGCCAAGGGCAGGGTCAGCAAGAAGCTCGCTGCGCCCCAGAAGGAGCTCTCTCAGGTCAAGGTACAGCAGCCCCACACAGCTCCCACCTTTCCTGGCACCTCTGGCTGGTTTTGGGCTTCGTGAGCATCCTTTGCTGTTGGTGCTGGTGACACACGGAGCAGGCACTGAGATTCTCTCTGTGCCAGGCACCCTGGGCATGACAGGGACTAGCAGAGTGTTCGTCTCTGGAGCTCACACCGCCGTTTATGCCACACCTCAGCAGTGCTGCATGGGCTCCAAGGCCCTCCTCAGCTGTCAGCCTCAGCCTCCCCAGGTTGGTGTGAAGGGCCGGCCCTGTCTCTGTCGGTTCCTGGAAGGAGGAGCTCAAAGTCTTTAGCTGCTGGGAGGTGCAGCTGACCGGCAAGCAGGAGCTTGTCCCCAGGCACTTCTGCCAGCACCACTGTGTTTAGTCCCTGTCATGTCATGTCACATTCCTAAGTAGTCAAGGAGCTGTGAAGGCAGCTGGCTGTTAACAGTGTGTCCCAGAGCTCAAAAAAGCCCGAGGAGGTTCTCAAAATGTCAGTGCATCCGGTTAACTGGGGCCTAATTAAAATGGGGTGTCTGGGTCTCAGCCAGCGAGCATCTTGATTCCAGATCCAAGCAGCCCCCTGTTGCTTTCTCCCAAGGGTGCTGGTGTGGTGGCACATGCATGGCCTCCTAAAATTTCAGCACTGTCCCAGACGGCCCTGCTACATCTCAGATGTTGAGTGTCCAGTTTGCCTTTATCCAGTAACCTTGGCTTTTTTGTGTGTTTTGTTTTGTTTGTAAATTAAAAAAAGCCTTACTATAAGAGCAGTATGCAGGTCATCTTAAGAGATCAGAAAATGCAGAGGTAAGAACAGCAGCCGTCCATCCTCCCAAACACTTCCCACTTTAAATTCTCAGTGCTTCTCGAGCCCTCTTAAGTCTCGCTCGATCCCTTTCTGTGTGCAATGTGTTAGCAAAATGCCACCTTTTGATTCTATGGTCTTGTTACCACGTGGGTCAGTACGGCCTCTGCCTGTCCACAAAGTGACACACAGTCCCCGTGGAAATTCGTGTTTCCTGCAGCGTCTTCTCCCCCCAGCTATTCAGAGGGTCCCAGAGACCTGCTCGCTGCACCTGTTTGTCCCTGGGCCTTCCCGGGGCTCCGAAGTGTCGAGCAGGTGGCAGCATTAACCTGTTCCCTCTGTCCCTTCTCAAGGTCATCGACATGACGGGCCGGGAGCAGAAGGTCTACTACAGCTATAGCCAGATCAGTCACAAGCACAGCGTGCCTGACGACGGGCCGCCCCTCTCCCAGCTGCCGCCAGGGCCCGGCAAGGAGGCCAAGGCTCCAGGCTTTGCGCTGCCCGAGCTGGAGCACAACCTGCAGCTGCTTATCGAGCTCACGGAGCAGGAGATCATCCAGAGTGATCGGCAGCTGCAGTATGAGCGGGACATGGTGGTGACCCTGTCGCATGAGCTGGACAAGATGGCGGAGGTACTGGAGCATGAGGAGTGCGTTATCGCCAACCTGAGCAAGGTGCTGGCCATGGTGGAGGAGTGTGAGCGGCGCCTGCAGCCGCACTGTGCCGACCCCCTCACGCTGGACGAGTGTGCACGCGTCTTCCAGACCCTGCAGGACAAGTACCACGAGGAGTACCGGATGTCGGACCGAGTGGACCTGGCTGTGGCCATCGTCTACCCGCTCGTGAAGGAGTACTTCAAGGAGTGGGACCCCCTCAAGGTGAGGGCTGGGCCTGGGCCGGGCAGGGGGCGTGGGCTTGGGGGAGGGGCGGCAGTGTGACGGCAGGGCTGCTGACCCGCCCGTGTCCACAGGACTGCACCTACGGCACAGAGACCATCTCCAAGTGGAAGAGCCTCCTGGAGAACGACCAGCTCCTGTCCCATGGCGGCCAGGATCTCTCAGCAGACGCCTTTCACAGGTGCTGCCAATGCCTGGGGACTCTGATATTCCACACTGGGTTTGCCACGTGTCTTTCTGGCCAGCTGTTGTCCACAGTAGTGGAGAGGCAGCAAGCAAGGAGCACAGACATGTGCTGGTACAAGGGCAGGCGAGCCCCGTGCGGGGCAAGGACTGGGCCAGGGGTCAGAGGGGACACTGGGGCTGTGACCCAGAAGGTGAGCAGCAGCTGTGGGTAGAGGCTGTAGGTGGGAAAGCGGCTGAGGCTGAGAAGCGGCCACTGTGCTGGGCCCGGCAGTCCTGCAGCAGCCCTGCAGGAGGCCAGGACCCAGGAGGGTTGCGAGGAGGGGCAGGCTGTCTGCACACTCCCTTGGTTTTGAAGCCTCAGTGACTGACTTACCTGTGGCCCGCTTCTGTCCCACAGGCTCATCTGGGAGGTCTGGATGCCATTTGTTCGAAATATCGTCACCCAGTGGCAGCCGAGAAACTGCGACCCGATGGTGGACTTTCTGGATAGCTGGGCACACATCATCCCCGTGTGGGTCCTGGACAACATTCTGGACCAGCTCATCTTCCCCAAGCTCCAGAAGGAGGTGGGCAGGGGCGGGGACCGCCTTCCCACACCAGGATGCTGTGAGGCCTCCGGAGCTGGGGGATCAGTCAGCATGGTACCGTCTCATCTGCCAGAGGCCACCGGCTCCGGCCTCCCTGGGACGTCCCAGGCCTCCCAAGGGAGTTCCCAGCCTTGGCATCGCCTGTGAATGAGAGCTGCGTGCCTGAGGCTGACTTTGGCATGGCTGCCCGGGTGCGTCTGTGTGCAGTCTGTCTGGGATGGAATGGAACGTGCCCGTGAGGCACCTGGGTTGTTTCTGTGTTCTTTCTCTCCATGAGGTGCAGACCGCGGGCCTCCTGCCCCAAGGACAGGGTGGCCCGTAGCTATACCTGGGTGTTGCGTGACCAACCCGTCCCCCACCCCTGTGCAGGTGGACAGCTGGAACCCCCTGACAGACACTGTGCCCATCCACTCGTGGATCCACCCGTGGCTGCCCCTCATGCAGGCGCGGCTGGAGCCGCTCTACTCCCCCATCCGCAGCAAGCTATCCAGTGCCCTGCAGAAGTGGCACCCCAGTGACGCCTCAGCCAAGCTCATCCTGCAGCCCTGGAAAGACGTCTTCACCCCCGGCTCCTGGGAGGCCTTCATGGTCAAGAACATTGTGCCCAAGCTGGGTAAGAGGGGAGAGCGTCCCGGGCCAGCTGCAGTCAGCTGAGGCGGGGCTCTGAGCTCACGGAAATGCAGGGTACGCGGTATTTCCCACCGCAGAACAGACTTAAGTGACAGGGTGGCCCTGGAGTCTGTAGGGACAAAGCTGGCTCACTGTGCCTCATGGTTCTGATTGGCCTGTGCCCTGTTCTAAGTCACGAGGGAGGGACTACTGTTGGGAGCTTTATGTGGACCAAAGACTGACAAGGTAGGGACGGTGTGTGTCACAGGCATGTGTCTCGGAGAGCTGGTCATCAACCCCCACCAGCAGCACATGGACGCCTTTTACTGGGTGATGGACTGGGAGGGAATGGTGTCCGTCTCCAGCCTCGTGGGGCTCGTGGAAAAGCACTTCTTCCCCAAGTGGCTTCAGGTGCGTCCTGTCGCTTCGTCCAGGAGGGAGGGGTCTCAGCGCAGGGGACAATAAGGGGGGCGGACAGAGAGCTGCGGTTCTCAGCGCTGTACTGGTTTAACACTCGGGCCAGCTGTGACCTCAGCACTTACTGGGCTCCTCACTGCAGCCCTGTGAAGTGGGGACTGTGAGGTCCCCGTCCATGTCCAGCTGTGGTGGTTCTGCAGCTCCTGTGAGCCTGTGGAGTCCCTGGCTAGCAGGACGGGCGGACGAACAGCCCCTGGGAAACTGCTCCCGTGTGCCGCTGGGGATGCAGGGTTCTTGTTGCTTTTTGGCAGGTGCTGTGCTCCTGGCTCAGTAACAGCCCCAATTACGAGGAGATCACCAAGTGGTACCTGGGCTGGAAGTCCATGTTCTCCGACCAGGTGCTGGCCCACCCCTCGGTCAAGGACAAGTTTAACGAAGCCCTTGATATCATGAACAGGGCGGTGTCCTCCAACGTTGGTGAGTACAATTCCCATTTGGGATGGTCCAGCCCCGAGTTCTAGGTCCCGGACACGTAAATGACAGAATCAGTCTTTTGTCGCTCACTGCTGTGTTGACTGCCCAGGGCCAGCGTGACTGGAGGGGCGCTTCTGCTTGGAGGCTGACCAGGGCTGTGTCTAACTCCAGGCCCTCCTCCTGCCATGCCACCTGGGGTGTGCTGGGGGCAGGTGGCAGTGACACCCAGTGCTGTTCACCTCTCAGCCCCAGGAGGGGGATGGAGTCCATACCTGACACTGGGTAGGCGGCAGTCTCTGCCGTGTCAGAAGCAGGGCACGGCTCAGCCTCCATGCTCACAGCTGCCAGTTCCAGGGGAGCTGTTCTGCCTCGCTCACAGCCAGTGAAAGCACAGCATGACACCTTGTCTGACTGTGTCTAAGCTCAGGCCCAGCTTGACCATGGCCACCCAGCCACGTGTGCGTTCATTCTTCCCACTCCCTCTCCCATGAAGAGACACACCACACAGATGACGTCACAGTATGCTGTGTTTAATGAGGCAACAGTGCGTCTGTGCCGCGTCCCCTCCCAGGCCTCACGTTCCCCGAGCTGCTGCCCTGTACCCTCGGCCCTGGGCACTTCTGGTCCTGTCGTCCTGTAAGCAGCCATGTATCTCAGGCACCGTGGCGTGCAAACCTCCAGACAATTCAGGGAGAGAAGCGGCCACCAGCCGCCTAGGCTGGGACCTGGTCAGAGCTGGTGACAGGGAGTGTGCAGATCCTGCAGTAACCAGTGGTGCTGGCCAGGTGTCTCGCCTCCCCAGGGCACTGAGGTCTGTAGAGCCTGCTGTCCTTGAGGCAGTGCCACCCTGTCCCCTGCCCCGCCCCGAGAGTCACCGGCACCCTGGCACACCTGGCCCCTGGTCACCGCCGCCCTGTCCCTCAGGTGCCTACATGCAGCCAGGAGCGAGGGAGAACATCGCCTACCTCACGCACACAGAGCGGAGGAAGGACTTCCAGTACGAGGCCATGCAGGAGCGCCGGGAGGCCGAGAACATGGCCCAGCGGGGCATTGGCGTGGCCACCAGCTCTGTGCCCATGAGCTTCAAGGACCTCATTGAGACCAAGGCTGAGGAGCACAACATCGTCTTCATGCCCGTCATCGGGAAGCGGCACGAGGGCAAGCAGCTGTACACCTTCGGCCGTATCGTTGTCTACATCGACCGTGGGGTGGTGTTCGTGCAGGGCGAGAAGACCTGGGTGCCCACCTCCCTGCAGAGCCTCATCGACATGGCCAAGTAGGCTGCAGGCCAGCCGCACAAGGTGGGCTTGCAGGGAATAAACAGCACCCGAAACCTGTCACCTCTGCAAGTGGCTCCTCTGTCCAGGAGCCTCTCTCTGCCAGTGGCCCAGCCACCGAGGACAGTTCCACACTGAGTTCCTGCACACCCAGCGCGACGAGCGTGTCCCTGTTCTCCTCTCTACAACCTGACCTACTTCACAGGAGTCGCTGCACCACTACAGTTTCTGCTGGCAGCTCCTGCTCTGGCGTCACCCGTTCAGGTCCACAGCGGGAGGATCTGTTGTCCCTTTCCTAATGATCTCAAGGTCCTCACAGCCTTGGTAGTCAGGCTCCTCCCTGAATGCCCACAGGTCCCTGGGGAGCCGCTCCAGCCTCTTTTTGGGGAACCAGTGGATGGAGGTGTCGTTAAAGGTGTCTGAGTAGCGCGGGGTCTGAGGGAGTGGCAGCTCGTGCAAGGCCTCCAGGACCTGAGTGGACAAGTCCACACATAAGGCTCGTGCGTCACAGCGCCCAGTTCTTCTGGCTGATCGGCCACTGTCATTTGTATGTTTTTGTGCACTCAACTAAAACCAGGGCTGCAGTGCTAAGAGGCACCAGGCTGTCACAGCTTGGGGACACAGGCCCAGGGAGCGCTCAGTGGCAGCATTGCTGCGGCTGACATTTGGGAAGGAGAAGCAGGGACCTCCCTCTCCTCCCTACCCTCACTTGGCTGTACCTTGGCAATGTAGGGGTAACTCTCCTGCAGGACCCTCGTCGGCAACCTGGAAATAAAGATGGAAGAAAGCGAGGTGACCTAAACTCAGTGAGTGTCCAGAGACAAATCAGGGTGTGGAGTGGGCCAAGTGGTAGAACGGGGAACACACACCCCAGTGAGCTCACCTGTCCTGGAGGCCCGCGAAGCTGTTCCCGATGATCAGCATGCTGGAGAGGGCGTCAGGCGTCCAGTTGCTCCACAGCAGATTGTTGTACAAGGCTGTCCCACAGTGCGGCATGTAGAAGACAGTGCACTCTCCACTCACGCCGCGCTTCCCCTCCTGCACCACAGAGCGCCCGTGAGGGCCACGGCAGCGAGGCAGGGAAGGGGACGGGCTGGGCACAGAGATGACGAGCTGAGAGGTGGGAAAGGCCTCAGCTCTGCTGTGGAATAGCTGGTCAGGCCAGTGTGACATGTAATCATCTGGTGCAAAAGGGGGTCACGGTGTCGCTGTGTCCAGAAACGACTCGTGCTTCCCGCAAACACAGGACTAGTGAAAGGGCTTCTTGGGACACTGGCAGCGAGAACGGGACGGCACTGGTGACAGTCTCCATGCACCAAGTCCCCTAGAGCCAGCTCTGCACGTGCCACCATCCCGGTTCCCAGTGACCTTCCAGTCCAAACCCTGACTTGGGGGCCTTTCCTGTCCCCAAACGTGGCTGTCCTGCCTCAGCTCCTCACACGCATGGTTTATTGCCTGTGGGTCACATCCTTGATGTGACCGTGTGCTTCTGAGGCAGGGATAACTCATTTCCTTTGGCCTCCCCCAGTAGAGTGGCACCTGGAAAAGTCGTGAACTGAATGGTGGCCTGTGGCCTGGCCTGTTTAGCGTTGTCAATAGTCACAAGGCTCCTGGCACCCTTCCTGGAACCACGCACCTCATTCTCACGCAGAACGGCCAGATGGAGGGTGCTCAGAACACTGGTCTCGAGCTGGCTGAACAGAGGGTCATAGACCCAGCAATGACTTCTGGGAATCTAGAAAGAGAAAGCATCACTTGCACCCACACGGCCAAGTGCACGTGTCCAAGCCCAGGGTGGGGGGACAAGGAGGGACCCGGACACCCACCTGGCACTCTTCCAGGAAGAGGAGCAGGAAGGCGAGCTGGCTGCGGGCTGTGACACAGGTGGCAAAGTTCCCCAGGCCGTAACACACACACTGCATCCTGTGGGTGCCCCTGGCCAGACCCCCTCCTGGGTGGCAGCCAGTGACCCCCTCTGGCTCTGCTGGTGGTGAGTCAAGATACAGGCTGCCGAAAGCTTCTGGAAGGGTCCCGACGGGAGCCTCCAGCTGTCGCAGCTGCTTTGTGACACAATGGCAGATGGCTTCTGAAATAGCAAGCCCCCAGATTCAGCCAGAGCCCCGAGAGCCAGTCCCCCAGCACGGGGCTGCACAGCCAGGAAAAGGGTGGGCCGAGAGGTCTCCCACTGCCCAAGGGGGCCGCAAACCCAAGAGAATGTCCCACAGCGAGCAGGCTTTGCTTGTGACACCCTTCTGCAACTTACGTGAGCTCCTGAGCTCCAGGTGCTGCTCTTAAGCCACCTGGCTCATACCTGCCCCCTTCCTGGGGAGTGTACTTTTTCTTCTCTCTCTCCCCTCTCCCTCTCCCCCCTCCCTCTAACTCTCTCTCTCACTCCCCTCTCACTCTCTCCCCCCTCTCTCTCCCCTCCCCTCTTCCCCTCTCTCTCGCCCTCTCTCCCTCTCTCTCTCTCTCCCCTCCTCTCACTCTCCTCTCACTCTCCCTCTCCCCCTCCTCTCTCTCCCCCTCCCTCCTTCTCACTCTCTCCCTCTCTCTCTCCCCCCTCCCTCTCTCTCTCCTCCTCCCTCTCTTTCTCCCCCCTCCTCTCTCCTCCCCTCTCTCTCCTCTCTCTCACCTCTCTCTCTCCCCCTCTCATCTCTCCCCTCTCACTCTCTCTCCCCTCTCCTCCCTCTCCCCCCTCCCTCTCTCTCCCCCTCTCCCCCCCTCCCTCCTAAAAACAAAATGACGTCAGCTGGCTCTGACTTTACAGGCGGCTCCCAGCACGCAGGCTGTGCTCTGGCAGGAGGGCAGGGTCCCGTCCCGTCCCCCCGGGCAGGTGGCACCCACCTCGTGCCGAGCTCCAGAGATCGGAGGACAGCAGGTCCTGCCTGTGGGAGGACATGACACGGTCACCTCGCGTCCACGGGGCTGCGGACCGCGCCACCCCCCAAAACCCGACGGGACGGGGACCCGCGGAGCCGGGCGGGGAAGCCGAGGCGCGAACCGGCGCCGCACTCACTCGGCCTCGCGGAGGCGACGAAGCACGAAGTCCGCCTCGGGCTCCGCCTCTGGGCCGCGGGCCGCCGCCGCCGCCGCCCTCCGCTTCGGCCCCCGCGCCGCAGCGCGCCTCCTCCGCGGAGCCGCCTCCTGCCAGGCGTCCAGCGCGGCCGCCGCCATCGGTGTCTGACGTCACCGCCGCGCGCCGCGCGTTACGTCACCGCCGCGCGCCTCCTCCGCGGGGCCGCTTCCTGCCAGGCCTGCAGGGCGGGCGCCGCCGTGTGGTGTGCGACGTCACTGCCGCGCGCCGGCTGCCGGGGCTGACGGGGCGGAGCGGCGCGTGACTTCGGGCCTCCGCCGTGGGCGCAGGTACCGGGCCGAGTTACCGCCCCGCCGCCCCCTGCCGACCTCCGCCTGGCGCCTCCGCTGGGGGTGCGGGCGGGACCCGCCTGACCCCGGGGCTCGACCCCTGGGTGGTGACTGTCACTTGCCACCCTCTTCCGGTCACGTCCGACCCCAAGGCCGCCCCAGCCCCCCCTCGCAGCGCCGCGCGGGACGGCGCGTGACCGCGGGGCACTTGGAGCCCAGGAACGCTGGGCTCTCCGAGGTTCCTTGCGTTCCCGCAGACGCCCCGGCGCTGGCACCGTCTGTCGCCGAGGACCTTACGCCGAGGACCTTACGTTGACCACCGATCAACGCGGTTCCGACGCCTCCAAGGCCGCACAGCGAAGGACCAGACCGCGTTTGTGGCTTCAGAGGCGTCCGGAGCAGTGGGTGCGGGTTCCTGGGACGATAACCCTAAATCCGGGACCTGACTCCAGAGGCCACCGACGCGGTGGGTCGATGTCTTGGGGGCGAGGGGCTGGCGGCCCCGGGATTTGAACGCGGGCAGGCGCTCCACCTCTCGAGCCATCCCGCCCGTCGCTGGCGGAGTGTGCAGTTTCTGCCCGGCCGCCATCCTCCCGATCTCGCCCTCGGGAGGAACGGGGACTGCAGGAGGGAGCCGCTGCGCCTGGCCGGCCCGGCCGTGCTTGCGGGGAAGTCCCCGGGACAGGATCAGAGCCAGGCTCCAAGCGCCCCGGGACACCGGCCTGCCTTCCCCTGGTGTGTTCCAAGGCCGCGCGGTAAAAGTTCTGTTTGCTTCTGGAGACTCCGCCCGTGCGCCTTACTTTGGGGCCTTCAAGGTGGCGCATCCGTCCTTTGGGCGCCGTTAATGACGACTCCAGCCGCCAGTTCACTGGGGTCCCTGTTCTTTCCCGTGTTATTGAATTTGACCCTCCGCCAGAACTGTGGTGTGTCCACCACAACTGTTGACATCCTCTGACGTCGCTGCTCCCTTTTTCACTTTGAGACAGTTTTCACCCTTACAGAGGAACCACGGAAAGCTCTTTTGAGCCATATCGGTTGTTTAACCCTGGGGGAAGGCTGGCGTGGTCACATGCTCTGTGGGCCTCTGAAATAACTGCTCCTTGGGTTTATCTCAGAGCCAAGGCACTGATGTGTGAACTGCAAGCTACAGACTTTTGAAAGAACCTTCCAGACGGCTTTGACGTAGACACTTTAGAAATCCCATGAGAACCCTGTCCGCGCCCAGCGTGTGTCCCGTGGGGCTTTCCTGGAAAGGCGCTGGAGGAGGTCATTGTGTGGACAGCCTTGCTGAATTCAAGTCTTGAGTCCGCACTAGTGCGTTTGACTTCTCCAGTAGACTTGCTCGCTTAGTTCATTCCCGCCCAGCGTTCTGGGAGGTGCGCAGCTGTTCATGGTGCTGGAGAGCCTGCCAGGAAGGGAAGTGGACTTTCACATTGAGTGACAAGTGAGCAAGTGGCAGTTGTGACAGAAACACCTGAGTCACCACGCCTAGACTCACCAGACAGAGAAACAGCTGGGAGGAACTGGAACGGGGACGCAAGTGAGGAGGATGAGGCCAGCAGGAGGGTAAATGGCCACTTCCACCTCCCCGGAGACAAAGTCAGCCTCATGGTGAGTATCAGGGCCCAGTCTGCTGCTCTCCCCACAGAGCTGATGAATATTTTGACGGGGGGGTGGTTGGGGCCAGAATGGGGTTTGAACTCGGATCCTCACGCTTGCTGGGCAGGTTGTCTAGCATTCGGGCCACTTCACAAGCCTGGACGGATTTTGTGTGTGAATTGAAAATTCCCAGCCAGAGCTGGGTGTGTGGCACATGCTTGCAGTCCCAGCACTCAGGAGGCTGAGGTAGGAGAGTCCCGAGTTCAAGGCCAGCCTGGGCTATGTAGTGAGACCCTTTCTCAAAAAAAAAAAAACAAGACAAAGCAAACAGCAAAACAAGGAAAATAAAATCCACAGCCAGCTTGTCTTGAATTTGTTAAGAAAAGGAAATGCCATTTTTCTTGGAGCATAGCAGCATGGTGTGCCTTCTCTCTCCAGAATGCCACCCCTCTACAGGGCTTGCGTTTTAACCTTGAGAGCCGGGTATGGCCTTGGCCATGGAGAGGCTGGGAGGTGGCGGGGGAGAATTACCTCACAGGAAGTCTGGCTTTTGAAGGGTATTGCGACATGTCTGCCTGAAACTGCTCTGTGCTCACCCACAAGGGTTCATACTTTCTCATAATTCTGTGGAAGTAGAAGCCTTGTCTTAACCTGACTCAGCAGCATTTGTGGCCGATTATACATGTGAAGGTCGGAATGGTGGCCCCCAAGTGACCTGGGGATTCCAGTCATGCCTGGAGGATCAGGGTGCTTCCCTCAGGACGTGGGAGGGAGAGGGTTGCCAGCCAGGGCCTCCTAGGCTGGCTGCAAAACCCCAGTGAGGCTTTGGGATCTGGCCCCAGAGCTGAGAAAGTGGATCATGCTGGGGACCAATGGGGCTTGTCTTGTCGTGAGGAAGGTGCAGTGGGTGGACAGTGGAGGCCACAGCTCCTGCCAAGAGCACAGGTGGCAGTGCCGCCTCTGCGCTGCTGCCCGAAGGACGTGCTTTTCAAGATTGAGAAGTAGGACAGACCTGCCCTTACCCGGGTCTTCAGGAGGCAATCAGAAAACAAGTGTGGTGTAACTGTGGTTGCGCTGCGGAGTAGACTAAGTCTTTAGGAAGACGGGCGACAAGCCGGCACTCAGAAGGCTGAGGCAGAGGATCGAGAGACTGAGGCCAGCCCAGCTCCACAGGCCCTGTCTAAGAAAACAAATCACAGTAACAGAGCCCGTTTGAGAAAACGAGGATTATGGAGCAGAAGACTCTCCTGACCGAGGGGGTGGAGGGTGGAGGAAGCAAGCGTTGGCGGCACTTAGGGCAGGTGAGGCTTGGCGGTCGGAGGTCAGTGTTCTCCACCAATGGCGACAAACCAGGTTCTCCCTGCCACAGATCTGCTCTGCCTTGAGACCACCCGTGACACTAGGGACACGGCTCAGGTGTTACGACGTCTGCCCAGCAACTGCCAGGCCCAGTATTCAGTCCCCAGTACAGAAAAGAACCTCCCTCCCCAGACCCGGAAACTGCTCAGCAAACACCACGGAGCTCCCCGCAGCCTCCCTCCAGAATGTCTGTTAAGCAAGCGTGGAACTCCCTGCGGGGCGACCCAGAGCTCCGAGGACTCCACGCTGACACTTGGGATAGTGTGTTTGTTATCAGAGCCTAAAAGACGGCCACCAGGCCATGTGGCCATGCAGTTAAGCCTGAGGGCTTCACGAGAGCTGTCACTGTGGGTGACCCGTCTTTCCTGACAGCTGGGGGAGGTGTATTCTTAGTTCACCGCTACTGCACTGGCGGATGAGTTTTGTCTGTGGCTCCTTGGTCCTTTCTCCTGGTCCCCGGGAGGCTCAGACATCTTCCTGGGGCCAGGCTGGAGAACAGGAACCGCAGGTGACATGCCGTTGTCCCTGGATGAAGGAAACACAGCTTTGTTCTGCCCTCTTGCCAGGTGGAATTACTTCTTCCTTTACGATGGTTCCAAGGTGAAGGGAGAAGGAGATCCAACCAGAGCTGGCATCTGCTATTTTTATCCCTCGCAGGTAAGCCACACGGCGTCCTGTTGTTGCTCTGAGGACGACTTTTCACACTGCGGGGTTAGATCAGCGGCTTTCTCTGCTGAGTCTGCTGTTGCCTCTTGTCCTGGTTTTAAATTCCCAGGCTGCTCAGTCCTCTGTCTTCTCCATTACCATTGTGACTTTTGTCTCCCCCAGGCTTTTAATCTAAAAAGCTTTTATTCACACAATCAGAGGAGACAAGTGCCGTGAACCCTCGTGCACCATCTGTGTCAACACTTCCTGTGCTCGGCCAGTGTCACATGACCTCACCTCCCCCACTCATTTTCTGGAGTAATCTGAAGCAAATTCTAGGTGTGGTGTCATCTCATCACTATCAAGTAACATCTGTAACCAAAAACGGGCATCATTTTAAAGTTCTCCTGTGACGAAAGTGACAGTCGTTACTAACAGTAGTTCCTCAGCCTCCTCTGGTATCCAGACTATATCTAATTTCACCGTTACCTTAGATGGTCCTTAGTCTGTCCTTCCTTCCTCCCTCCCTCCCTCCCTCCCTCTCTTCTTCCCATCCCTCCTCTGTCTTTCCTCATCAGGATGAAAACAGCGTACATGCATTCTATTTGATTATTTTGTACTCACCTCCCTCACAACGGTCCTCACCCATCCCCACATCCTTTATTCTACCCCAGGCCATTTGTCAGTGTTAGAATGTCCCCTTGCACTGGCTTTGGCTGGCCACTTCCTCACAGTGGCATCACCATGCGTGACTAGGTCAGGGTCCCATTCTCTAGGCTGGGCCTCCCTCTAGGTGGAGTGCACTGTTTGGTGTCACACGTGTGGCTGTCCCAGTGGTTCAGTGAGGCTCAGATTGTCAGGAGATGCTGTCTGCTGCTCACGTGATGACACAGGGCGTGGGCAGTTGGGCCCCCCCCACAGGGTTTGGGTTGGACTGAGACACGCGTGCAGCTGCCCTGGCGTGCGCCCTCAATCCTAGTGTACGCAGACACCTCCTCTGTGTTCACTGCGGACCCTAACAGATCAGTCACCCCAGCACACTTGGTGAGGGCCTGACCGGAAATGTGACCGGAAATGCCACCCAAGGGCTCTGCTGTTTTCTTTTTGTTTTTATAACCCTTAAAAAATACAAAAACCGATTCTGGCTCATGAGCCACATAACAGGTAGCCAATTGGGTCTGGCCTGCGGGCTTCAGTTTAAGAGCGATCCAGGACTTGTAGAATTTCAGCCTCGTGTCTGGTGTCCCTTCCTTCCACAGACGCTGCTGGACCAGCAGGAGCTGCTCTGTGGGCAGATCGCCGGCGTCGTGCGCTGCGTCTCTGACATCTCTGGTGCTCCCCCCACACTCGTCCGTCTGCGGAAGCTCAAGTTTGCCATCAAGCTTCACGGAGACTACCTCTGGGTAAGAATCGGTGAGGGTATGAGGAGGCCCTGTGGCTCCCCCTGCCCTCCCCGTGCTGTCATCGTCCTCACTTCTGTCACAGTCCCTGCACATTCGCCTGCCCTCCCACAGCTTGGTTTTGTATTTCTTGTTTGGAGCTCGGGCTGGACCCTACCCTGGGCCTGAGCGTTCTGAACACAGGCTTTGCACTGAGCTGCATGCTGGCCTCTCCACGGCGGCCAATGTCTGCGTGTCGTTCAGGACAGGCTGCGCTGCAGAAGCTCGGTGTGCCCTGTGGGTCAACTGAGTCTTGTGTCCGTCCTTCTGTGCTGTCCCTACAGAGTGATCAGAGCTTCTCTGTCAGTGATGCGATTGCATTAGGTTTCAAAGAACCTATGAAAATTTAGAAAGGTTGAGCTGGAGGAGTGGCTTAAGTGCTAGAGCACCTGCCTAGCAAGCGTGAGGTCTGAGCTCAGACCCCAGTGCTGCCAAAAATGAAATAAATAAAAGTAAGGCAAAACCATTCTCTCACCCCTGGTAGTGCCTACAGTCTACACTGCTGGTTTCCCGAGCCTGTGCTCGCTTTGAGGCTTCTGAGGTGACGGGTGCCACAGTGAGATGGCGTGTTTGGCTCTGTTGTGCCGGGAACATGTCCTGACCCACGCAGCACTTGCAAGGACCTTCCAGGGAGTGGCACTCGGGCTCTACTACAGCCAACGGTTGATTGTGGGCTTTTTCTCACCTGTCTTTCTGTCAGCCTTTTATTTTTCATTCTATTTAGAGGTTTACATATGGATGTTTTTGAGATGGGGTGTGTGTGTGTGTGTGTGTGTGTGTGTGTGTGTGTGTGGTTCTGGGGTTTGAACTCAGGCCCTCCACCTTGAGCCACTCCACCAGTCCTTTTTTGTGAAGGGCTTTTTGAGATAGGGTCTTGTGAACTGTTTTCTCAGGCTGGCTTTGAACCCCGGTCTTCCTGATCTCTGACTCCTGAGTAGCTACGGTTACAGGTGTGAGCCACCAGCACCTGGCTTGAGACAGTCTTCCTGTGTGACCCAGGCTGTCCTGGGACTCACTGTGCAGCCCGCCTGGTCTCATGTCCTCAATCCTCCTTGCCTCAGCCTTCCCAGTGCTGGGATTACAGCTGAGCGCACACAGCTGAGGTTTTCTAGCAAGCTGAGTGCATTAGGATACTCTCCCCACCCCAGGAACTTCACGTGCATGTCACTGAGCAGAGCTCCCTGTCTGCATGCCCTGCTTTTTTTTGGGGGTGAAATTCACGTATGATGAAATACACATCTTGACTTTACCATTTGATGCATTTGGACAAATGGTACCTGTGCCACAACAAATCCCCATCACGATTTGAGAAAGGGAGCAGTATTTCCCTGAATCCTCCATACTTCCTCAGTTCTTTCTCTACAGTTCATTCTTTTTTCTTTTTTTTCTTGGTGGCACTGGAGTTTGCACTCAGGGCCTCAGACTTGCTAGGCAGATGCTCTGCCACCTGAGCCAGTCCCCAGCCCGTTGGCTTCATTTTCCAGGTGAGGTGTCACTTCTGCCCTGGGTGGCCTTGGATCTTGATCCTATCACCACTTACCAGGAAGCTTGGATTGCAGGCTTGTGTTTGAGATGAGTGGTCACTAAATTTTTTGCCAGGGCTACCCTCAAACTGTGATCCTTCCCAATCTGCCTCGCTCATAGCTTGGATCACAGGTAGGCACTGCTGTGCTTAGCCTTGGGTTGTGGTTCTTTCTATACCTTAAGGACCAGGTTTTTGCGAGATACATATTTCAAAAATATTTTCTGGCTCTTTGTACCATTCGTATCAATTTTCTTTGATGAGCAGACATTTTTAATTTTAGTGAAATTGATTTATCGGTGGTACTTTTTATGGCTATCACTTTCATTATCCTAAGAAACTGTTGCCTACTGTTTGGGTCTCTATTTTTTCTACAGAAGTTTGGTAGCCTTTGTTTTGAGACTTAGGTCTGTAATGTATTTGTGTGGTGTGAGAAGAGGTCAGGATCATTTGTTCACCTGGACGTACAGGTCAATGCTGTCGTTAGACGCCCGTGTCCCTTTGAATTTCTTCCCTTGGCTTTCGTTGGTCCCATGGCCATTTCACATGTGTGAAGATTCTGTGTGAGGACCCCTCTGACCTGATTGTGTAGCACGTAGTACCCACTAAGTAGTAAGTGTCCAAGCCAGGTGGTCCAAGCCCTCGGCATCTCAGAATAGCCCTGGGTGTTTCCCATCCTGTGCGCCTCAGTTTCCAAACAAAAGGCGGCCAAGGGCTGGGGCAGCTGGGGCAGAGCGAGCACTTCCTGCACCCCTGGCTCTCAGCTCTCTGTGATGCTCTTGGGTCTCCATGACGGCAGTGAGCCCAGCCTCAGCGGGGAGGCTCTGCTGTGCTGGTTTTCCACGTTCCCTCAGGGTGGATCCCTAGTGGTAGAATTCATGGGTCTAGGAGCATGAGCTTTCTGCAGGTTCTTTAATCACTGGCCAGCACCTGCTTCCACAGAGATGGACCATGCGCTTGGCACCTGGGGGTTCTCTGGCTGAGAGGACTTGAAGCTCCCAGGATGGTTTGTGCCCGTACATTCTGGCAGTGAACCCCAGGGTCAAGTGCAGAAGAGGCCAGCATTGGCCACAGTCAGCAGTTAGTGGAGCTTGGAGCGGGCCCTGTGGCTGCAGGCCAACCCCTCGCCTGGCAGGCCAGTGGGCAGTTAGGGTGTGTGGACAGAGGGACAGACAGGGCTTTTCTCTTTACGCCAGCGCGGTTGCCATGTAGAAGGTGGGTTTACGCTGGGATTATAGACATAAGCCACAGCACCTGGCTGAAGGAAGAGGTTTATTTATTTATTTTTTTGGTAGCACTGGGGTTTGAACTCAGGGCTTCATGCTTGCTAGGCAGACGCTCTACCACTTGAGCCACTACACCCGCTCTTTTTTGTGTTGGGTATTTTTGAGATTGAGTCTTGAGAACTATTTGCTAGGTGCTGGCACCATGGCGTCTGGTGACGGAAGCCAGGATTCTGGCTGTGGCCTGGGAAAAGGGAGCCCAATCTTCCCGCTTTCCTTCTTGTCTCTAGGCACTGGGCTGTGCTGTGGAGCTGCCCGACGTCAGCTGCAGGCGGCTTCTGGACCAGCTCATTGGCTTCTTCCATTTCTACACTGGCCCCGTGTCCCTGGCTTACAAGGTAGGAGCTGTTAGCAAAGCCGGCAACTTGGGGCATGGCCTCCCTCGGGCCAGTCACCCTGCACAGTGCATGGTGTCAAGGAGAAGGTGGAGGGCCCGGAGCCTCACTCAGATGCCCTGCCCACGCCCCCGTGGTCAGGACAGAGCGGGTCTGCCTGCCATCTCTCCCCAGCAGGTGCCCTGCTGTGACAAGCGAGGCTCAGGTGGGAGCCTGGCCCAGCAGTGCAGGGAGGAGGACAGACCCTCTCCGGCTGGCTTCTGTCCCAGATCTCTTGTGTTGACCTCACCTTTTCCTTTTCAGAGCCATTCACAGGAAGCACTGGCAGGCCAATGGGACACCTTCATTGAGCTGATCCTGAAAAACACCACTGAGCTGCATAAGATATTCAATGCCCTCTGGAACCTGGACCGGACGAAGGTAACATCCACTGCTGCTCACTTCCTGCCTAGGAACAGGCCTTCTGCACACTTAAAACTCCTTCTTCAACCAGGTGCAGGGGCTCATGCTTGTAATATCAGCTACTCAAGAAGTGGAGATTGGGAGATCGATGTTTGAAGCCAGCACCTAGCAAATAGTTCTCAAGACTCAATCTCAAAAATACCCAACACAAAAAAGAGCGGGTGTAGTGGCTCAAGTGGTAGAGCGTCTGCCTAGCAAGCATGAAGCCCTGAGTTCAAACCCCAGTGCTACCAAAAAAAATAAATAAATAAACCTCTTCCTTCAGCCAGGTGCTGTGGCTTATGTCTATAATCCCAGCTACTCAAGAGGTGAAGAGTGGGAGAATCATGGTTTGAGGCCAGCCCAGGCAAAAAAGTTAGCAAGATCCCATCTTAGGTGGGGTCTCAGATGGTCATGGGGTTGTGGGAGACGTAAGCAGGGCTGTGGAGGCCCAGGGTGGCCAGGCGAAAATGGGAGAAAACTGAGCAGGAAGGGTGGAGCGAGGTTGCATGGCCGCTGTGCTGTGAGGCCTGAGTGCCGAGCCAGCAAAGCAAAAGCTGTTCCTTCACTGAGCTCCGTCCACAGAGCGATGTGGACATGTCGCTTCCTGGGCAGGGCAGTGGGACGCAGCCCTGGAGCTGCTGTGTCCCCTAGGGGGAGTAGGGTTGAGGCGGCGGTGAGACTGGCCTCCCAGCAGCACTTTGATGGACGCCCAGTGTTTGGCCAGGCCTCCAGAGGCCGACCCAGGAGTCTGAGGGCCCCTCCCCCAGTAGTTCCTGGCTTAGTAATTAGCGTCACTCATGCCCGTGCTTGATTTGCAAACAAGTTTGCTGCCTCTGGTTGACAAGTGGCTTTAGTGACAAGCCACCCAGGTCTGCATGTCCCACGTGCGCTGCCCTGGCTTGCTGCTGTGGTGAATAGCTCCGTAACGGGAGTGGTGCTGGGACCCTGACATGGAGGGTTGTCCTGCTCATGTCGGGAGGGCTTTGTGATGTTGTCCTTACGAGAGCTGACTGGGACTGGACACAGTCCAGCCATGAGAGAACAAGTGTCACTTCCACACGTGGCAGCTGCTGCAGAGCTCGGCTCCACACACAGAGAGCTGACAGCTCACTGGACGCACTACTGGTGGCCACTAGGCAGTAGGCTGTGGGCATCGCTGGGCATCCTGACCAGGCCCAGAGGCTTCTTGTAGCTTCAGGGACTGGTGGACAGTGGCCTTCACAGACATGGAGACGTGCAGTGCTGTGGGCCTAGCCAGGTGCTGGTCCAGCCGGCTGTGTCCTGGGGTCCGTGTTGCAGAGGGTGGGTGGTGGGCTCCCCAGCCCTGGGGCCTGCGCTCTCTCTCCTGCTGCCAGCCGGTCTCAGTGCTGACAGTCCTAGGCCACTTAACTTATCCCCTGGGAATGGCCACACTCACTGCACCTTCCAGAGGCCTCTGCAAAGAATCTGCTGCTTTGTGGTATCGGCGTTGGCGGGAGAGGTAGAGACCCCGGGCAAGACATGGATCCTGCAGTGCAGTGCTTTAGTTCCGTGGCCTAGGCTCCAGAGGTCCCTATGCCATCTGTTCATCGCGCGTGTGTCGTCCTGCACAGGTGGAGCCCCTGCTCTTGCTGAAGGCAGCCCTCATCCTGCAAACGTGCCAGCGCTCGCCTCACGTCCTGGCCGGCTGCATCTTCTACAGGGGGCTGTGAGTACCGCGGCCTCGCTCTCTCCCCCTGCACCTGTCCTGCTGCTTCACTGACCGGCTGGTGTCCAGGTCATGGGGGCCTGGGGCTCAGAGCTGGCCACTGCCTGTGGGTTGGCTTGGCAGAGGCTTGACTGTCCTGGACCACACCTGGGAATCGGAAGTTGCTGTGGGAGGGAAGGGGTGGAGCCAGGGATGGAAAGGGAGCGCAATGCTCATGTGGGGCAGCCACTGTGGTCCACAGCAGCCAGCGTGAGAAAAGGGCTGGGCCAGGGATCCTGGGTGCCCGCTGCATCTCAGCTCTGCACAGCAGCATAGCTGCTCTCACCAGCTCCTTGCTGGCTCTTGGCCGCCCTCTTCACTCTTTGGAGGGCTGTTCGTGAGCTGAGGGCCTGAGGCCACTCCATAGCTCTCAAGGCCTCTCCAGGCCTCTCTTCTGGTGTGTTTACTCTTGCTGCCTGGCGGGCCGAGGTCAGGCCCAGGGCTTGCTGGCTTCAGACTGTGCTGAGGACATCCAGGCCCCTGAAGGGTCTTGGGCAGGGCCTTTGCCCCCTCCAGCCCTATAGCCTCGGGCAAGATGTGTGACCTAAGTTTCCTCCCCAGGAACTTAGAGCTGTTGAGGAAGGAGGTGTAAAGTCCTGGCTGTTGTCCCTCTGCCCTTCAGCCTCATCACGGTGGCCCTGCGCATGTCCGACACAGTTTTCACTTTCTTACTTTGCATTTCTTTGTATTTGACACGTGAACATATTGTTCATATAAGGTGTACAGTAGAAACATGGCAGCGTGTGGCCCCATCTCCCTCCTTGCCCTCAGCCATCCACAGCCATGAACTAGACACACACGTTGGCTCTGTTCACTTTTCTGTCTGCTAGCAGGGGCTTCTGGTTCCTCGACTTGATGAGCACAGGGCAGGTGTCCTGACCCACCATGCTGGCCACTGGTGCTTGCAGGGGCGCGTGCATTAGGCACCCCTGCTGTGCTGTGCTTGTCTGTGGCTGATGGACAGTGAGATTTCCTTGTGTTTTGAACATCTTTGCTGTCTTCCCATAGTGACAATGCTTACAGGCCACTCAGAATTCAGACGATGTGATTGCTGTTGTGACAGACATTGTAGCAGACGTTGGCTTTTTTTTTCTCTTAGTGAGAAAAAAAAAATGGCGTTACTGCTTGAGCCACTCCACCAGCCTGACATTGGGGCTTTACCAATTGAAGCTGCCACCAGCCATGTCCCTGAGCTCCCACAGCAGGGGACATGAGGCACTTGCTGACCTTAGAGCCCATGTTCATTTTTAATGGCCTCCTCTTCCCTGTCTGACTCCAGGATTGTGAGCACGCAGCTCCCGCCCTCCCTCACTGCCAAGGTCCTGCTTCAGCGACCCGCACCTCAGAACCAGGTACAGTAAAGCCTGGCAAGACTGATCCTCAGTGCTGAGGGGCGGGGGTAGTATCCAGGACACTTGTTCAGAGTCTTTTTGGGACCCTCGTCTGTCAGCCTGGTCCTCAGAGTGGAGTCACTGGCAAGGCAAGGAGCTCACACCTCCCTTGGGGTGGCCCAGCTAGCTGCTGCTTCAAGCCAGCGTGGAGCATTTGACTTCTGGCCTGCATAGCATTTACATCAAAAAGACGTCATGTGGGGTTTTCTTGATGGTACTAGGGTTTGAACTTAGGACCACAAGCTTGCTAGAGCCGTCCTTCAGCCTTTTTTGTGTCAGTTTATTTTCAGACGGGGTTTCATACTCTTGCCTGGGGCCAGCCTTGGATGGTGATCTACTTCCTGTGCTCCCATGGAGCTGGGATTATTCTGTGCACCACCATGCCGTGCCACCCTTTTGAAATAGGGTCTTCCTAAGTTTTTTCCTGCTCTGGCCTTGGACCACAATCCTGTTGTCTACTTCCCAAGAGGGTGAGATTACAGGTGTGTGCCACCATGCTGGCCTGAGATGTGATGTTTTTTGAGACATGCTGGAAAGGATGTCATTAGAAAGACACAGGAGAACTGTAGTGCCTCTAAAATGCTTGTTTGTGTGTATTTCATGTTGATGATGAAGAAAATTTATATGTAAGCATCAAGAACTGTGTCACCCACAGAGCCCCAGAGACGACCACAACTGTGATCCTCAGTCTCCTCTTGCCCTGCCTTCTCTGTGTGTCACTTTTGTGGCTTCCTCTTGGGCCTTAGGAAGTCAGCAGGCCTAAGGCACAGGGCTCTGTCCAGGCTCCTCGCCCCCCTTGGAGGGGGGGGTGTACATGTGTGTGTTTGTGTGTACATGTGTATACATGTGTGTGCGTGGGGGGCAGCCTTTCTGGAATGAGCTGTACACACTGCAGAAAGACCAACTGCTGAACAGATTTACATCCACAAGTGTCACCCGGCTGGTGAAAGGAAGAGCAGTGAACCTTGACCTTGGGCAGACTCTGTTGTAGCCTGCAGCCCCTGAGCTACAGCAGGGCCTAGGACGGACTCAAGACGCTGACAGTGTGTCACACCTTGCTCTTTCCAGAAGCAGCTTGCTAACTGCTGACCCCATGTGCTGCAGACACCATCAAAGGCTGGCCTTCAGAATGGCCAGAGAAGGGCTAGGCATGTGACGCAGTGATAAGCACGCACTTACCCAGCGCCATCCAAAAGTAAAAACCACTGGGCGCGGTTCCTCAGGCCTGTAATCCTAAGTACTTGGCCGTTGGAGGTTGGGAGGATCATGGTACAGAGCCAGCCCAGGCAGATAGTTCATGAGACCCCATCTTAACCAATGGCTATGCACAGTGGTGCACGCCTGTCATCCTAGGAAACCACAAATAGGAGGAGCACAGTCCAGGCCAGCCTGGACTCAAAGTGAGACCCCACCTCAAAAATAACCAGTGCATAAGGGGCTGGGTTGTGGCTCAAAGAGTAGAGCACTGGCCTAGCAAGCACTAGGTCCTGAGTTCAAGTCCCAGTGTTGCCACAAAGAAAAACATGTTTTAAAATAGCTAAAGAGATTTTAAAGACTGCCGTTGCATGTTACTGTTTTAAGTGGAAAAATTGAAGTTTATGGAATGCTTCAAAAGTATAAAACAAAGATTTAAGGGGAAATACCATTACGTCTTTAGCTTGGCGATAAGGGATTGCTTAAGTGTGACTTCTAAGGGATGTTGTTTAGAGCACGCTGCCGTGAGTTTAGCAACCTGGAGCTCCAGGTTTTAAAGTTACCGGAAGAGCCACGTGGTTTCAGTGGCGTGAAGCCGTTTTGGCTGATGAGTTTGTGTTCTTGGTATTCAGACTGCTCTGGTTAAGGCAAAGCTTTTTTCTTGAGACACTCAGTAAGCTTCTGGCCTTGATCCAGAGCCAGAACTGAAAGATCTGGCCCAGCACCATGTTGGGGCCAGTCTTGCCTTGAGGGTCAGAGGGCCTCCTGTGAATCGTGTGAGCTGGGGCTGGCGTGGCTGTGTCCCAGAATGCCAGCTCCCAAAGGCGAAGTGAACGGAGTCCCAGAGTGACAGGAAAACCAGAGCTCAGGGCAGGCGTGCGCTGTGCGGCACTGCCCCTCCCAGCCCTGAGCTTCTGCTCCATCTGCCGGGCTCTTGGCACCAGTTTGGGACAGCTCCCTGGGAACAGATGGCACTGTGCATTCCTGATGGATGGGGATGATGGGGTGCCTGGTGCCAACCTTGTGTGTGTTTGCTTTCAGGGCCTGCTTGCAGGAGGGGCCGCCCTGCAGGAGACGGGTGAGTAGTAGGGCGTCTGGGGACAGCTTTCTGTGACGCCACCTGTGGGGACACAAGCCACAGAAGACCAGCTTCTCCCCATGTGCAGTTAGGGAGATGGGTCCAGGAGAGCCCCAAGCACAGCCCCATTGGAACCCAGGTGTCACACTGGAGGTGTTGGGCACCCCTTCCAGATCCCCAGAGCCAAGGCTGCAAAACTGCAAGACTGCACTGACCAGTTCCAGGGCCCCCTGAGGGGACAGGGGAGGGAAAACAGTGACTGTCGGGGTCTCCAGGAGGGCGGATCCTTCTAGCTTAGGTCTGGGTTCTTACTCAGTGCCGTTGCACGTCCCCTCTCCAGAGCTGTCCACAGACCCTGGGCTGAGGGACCCACATGTTCCCAGCGTTGCCCCTGAGCCAGTGTGGGGTGCCTGCATCACCCCAAGAACAGCCACCACCCTCTGTCCCGCCGCTAAGGGTGAGCCTGCCCCATGTTGCTTTGCCGTTCCAGGAGAGGTGCTTCCCCAAAATGTCCAGATCATTCCTGTTTTCTTGACGGAAGAGGAGGCCATGAGCCTCCGTGAGCTCCCGGTGCAGCGTGTGACTAGGTGAGCCACACCTGGGGGCTCCATCACGTGGCTTGTGGACACATGGCCTGGTCCTTCTGTCTCCCTGAGCCCCCTCTCCTCCCTGCTGCAGGAGCCAAGAATGGGTTTCCTGACCCACACTCCCTCATCGGCCCATTTCTGCCAGAGCCTCGGGCATCAGACGAGCCCGTGCCACCTCCTCCATGGGCCCCTCATGATGTGTTCCCGAGTCACAGTGCACAGGCAGCACCTGGATGGCAGAGCCCGACAACTCTCCAGCTGCAGAGACTTACTCGGGCTCAGCCATTTCTACATGAGCCTGGCCTCACCAGGGCCACACATGCAGCCCTTTATTCCTGTGATTGACACAGTGGCATCTTAGACTCTGTGGCCTTGGGTACCCACTTGTCACTGACACCTGCACGCTCTAGTCTTCCCCCATGGGGGGTGCCTGTCCTGGGCTGTCACGCACTCAGCTGACCTACTCCTTCCTCCTGTTTGCCAGCTCTCCCGTGTCTCCAGCTGGACTCCAGGACGACGTTGCCCCAAGAGAAAATGCCCTCAGGCTTGTGGCATCCACGACTCGGACATTGGCCACCACACCAGAGTCCACGTTCCTTGAGAGAGCATGGCCGCAGGGCAAGGGGAAGAACGGATGCCTGACTGACCGAGAGCTGGACGCTGGGCCCATGGGACTACACAGGACTGCCTGGGGCCTTGGTCCTGGCCTCAGCAGCCCTCTGCAATGGGAGACAGGCTCTACCCAGGGAGAGCTGGACTTGTCAGAAGTGCACATTCCAGAAGCGCCGCTGGACCATTGTCCCTTCCCACCTTCATGTGGCCCAGGTGGCAGAGGTGCTTGCTGCAAGGAATCTGTCAGTGCCAACAGCAGCCAGGCACCTGTGCCACGCGAGGATACAGCTTCCAGCAACCCACCACCTGCACTGCCCACAGACACGGCCACCAGCAGTGTGTCACTCGAGGACACGGCCACCAGCAGCCACCTCTCCTCCTCCCGTCCCAAGAGACTCACCCAGAGTGGAGCCCTAGGGCACCACGCAGACCTCCCCAGTGCCCGCAGCACAGCCCCGCTCCCCAGAATGGCCAGCAACCTGAAGGCGCTGCCTCGCTTGGCCCCAGGGCAGAGGGGAGGCCTGTGTTCTGGGGCACGTCACGGTGCTGAGCAGCGTGCCACCGGGGATCCTGAGAACCACGTGTCTCCAAACTGCACGTGTGGCTCCGACTGGCCAGGCTCGCAGGACCATGGCCCCTCCGCAGACAGCAGCGACTCCATGCTGAGCCCAGCAGGGCCCTGCGTGGGCCTCGTGCGCATGAAGCTGTACACGCACAGTGTTAAGGGGCTGGTGCTGTCCCTGCTGGCCGAGGAGCCACTGCTGGGAGACAGTGAAACCATCCAGGAAGTGGTGAGTGTCCCTTGGCCCCTCTGTGGTGTCTCCTGCCTCCCAGAAATGTGGCCTTTGCTGTGGCCGGGACAGAACCTCTGTGTTTGTGCAGTGGGTTTTGAAGGGGGAGTGAGGGCGATTCGTGTACCAGCACAGTGACACCGGCCTCCTGTAGTCCTGGACGTGTCTTGGGAGGGGGCAGGGCTGGGCGCACTCCTGGCTCTGCTGCTGTCCAGCTGCGGCTGTGGTCCGTCCATAGCACCTGCTCCTCTGACCTCTGCCTCCTCATCAGTAGTACAGGTGGCACTGGGCCTTCCGTCCAGACACAACGAGGTCACACTGCAGAGGCATCAGTTAGCTGGAGGATCCATATTGCTGGAGTCTGCTCTGTGGCGTGTCACAGCCCAGGCCTGGGCTGGGGGTTCCAGAAACCTGTGTTTCTGTCCATACCCCAGCGTCACATGGTGGGCCTGAAGGTGGTCCCTAGAAGGCCTGGGACTCCTGCAGCCCTGACTGGCTCTGGACGGCTCCTGAACCGTTCCAGCACCTTCTCCGCTCAGAGCGGAGACTGACTCTTCCAGGATCTGACCCACGCTGGTGATGGTGTTGCCATGGTAACGAGGAGCCTGGCAGGAGAACAGCAGCTGCTGCTGTTGCTGGGCAGGTGGCGCCCAGGGCTTGCTGTGTTTAATCCTAAGTCCACGTCACTCCCGGCTGGGTGGGTCACCAGCACGTGGGGCTTGCGGCTGAGCCACGGGTGCAGGGGACCTCCCTCTGGAGCTGGCTGGCTTATCTGTCCCCTTTGCAGGTGCCCTGAGCCCTGCATGTTCCCGCGTCCTCATCCACCCTAGCTGGGGTGACTGTACCCACGCCAGCTGTGGCAGTGAGGGGGTTCTGGCTGCAGCCCAGGCTCACCTCCAGGTGTCAGCGTTCATGGCCTGCCCTGCCAAGCGTGGAAATAGGGTGTGAATAGAGCACCTCTTTCCCTGTCCCCCGCCTCACCCCCACCCCCCAGAGCCAAATGGCACAGGCCACTCTTTAAGTCCTGCTGTACATCAGTCCTCCCAGTAAGAAAGCAGAGCTGAGGAGAGAGGAGTCCAGGTGAGGGCTGTCCCAGAGCCCCTGATGGGGAAGGAGCCACCTGCCCCGCCCTGCCTCCGCAGCTCGCCTGGGTGCTGCCTGTTGTGTTTCTGCAACAGCCTTCAGGAGCTTGCATGTGAAGTCAGGTTGGGTGCTGGCCAGGGTCAGGAAACAGGAGGGTACGTTACTAGACAAGCTGGTCGCCCTGCAGATGTAGAGGTACTTGCTGGTCTCCCAGAGTCCAGCACTTGGGAGGGTCGCATTTGTGTGTGTTGGTCCCAGACATGTGAGGCCGTTCTGCAGGCCAGGTCCTGGACAGCAAAAGCACACTGTGGGAGGGTGGCTGACTGCTGCGTGCTGTCCTGCGCCCGGGCTGGTTTGCCCGCTTGTCTTCTGGTGAACTGGCTTGGAACTCTCTGGATTGGGGACAGTGAGCAGCCAGCAGGGTTGGTCAGCTGGGTTCAGGGGAGCAGCAGGGAGCCACTGCTGTGGCTCTGGGCCAATGTGGTCACTGACCTCCAAGAAGCCGGGGACTCTGGTCTTCATTGCTGCCTTGGACAGGGAGCGGCTGTGGGCGGCAGACGATGCTAGGCCTTTGGGCGAGGGCATGAGCTCCCTGGCCCAGCCCCAGCAGTGGAGGTGGGTGTCCCAGGGGGTGTATGACCCCATATGCCGCGGTGGGCTCTGCCGTTCAGGCCTGGGGTGTGGTGTGGACTGGAAGGCGGAGGATCGAGGACACAGCCCAGCTCCGTCTCCAGGGCTGTTTGGAGGACTTGGTCCTGTGTCAGGTTCTGAGCTGGGGCCTGAGGACCCAAAGGTGGTGTTTTCAGCCTCTCAGCTGGCCGGCCCCAGATGCCATGGGAACAAGTGATTGAAGTCTCATGATTGTGGACGTGGGGACTTCATGCCACTTTCTCACGTCACAGCTTGATTCATGTGGTTCCTCCCGCTCTATAAAAACCGTTCTTGAGTCCCCAGCTGTGCAGGGACAGGCAGTGGGCAGGATTGAGCCCTGGCCCCTGCTCACCCCACCCCCCTGGCCAGTAAAGGACTTGGTTGTCACTGATGGCACTATGACCAACGATTTAGTCTTTAGGAGAGTCTGGAGGCAGCTCAGTGGCCACAGGGAGAGCAGGTGTCAGCCTGGCTCTATGTTCCAGTGTCCCTTCCTCCAGACACCAGCTGGGGTGGACAGGTTAGCAGGTTCCCGAGGTCTTGAAGATTCCAGTGGCTGGGGGTCACTTCACAGTATGTGATCATGGTCACATGTATCCACGCGTGCGCAGACATCCATCCAGATAGGAGGCTGGTGACCACCGTCACACTCAGTATTGGCTGGGCCACCGCAGGACTGAGCACGAGTGTGTACTTGTCCCTGAGCGCAGGTCTCCTATTTAACCTGCACCCTCAGCTGCAGCCCACAGCTCGGGGGCGACAGCACCTGGCCTGGCTGTGCTCAGTCAGGTGTCCACCGTCACCCTGTGCCGGGCATGGAGATGCAGAGGCCAGCGGGAGGTACACGTGAGACTGACGGGCTATAAGTGCTGTTTCTGAGATGTGTCTGGCAGCGCACAGCTGTAATCCCAGCACTCTGCAGGCTGAGGCAGGAGGATTGACGCCAGCCTGAGCTATGTCGTGAGACCCTCTGTGAAAAAATAAATGTTATTGCTGAGACATTCAAACTGAAAACCAACTAAACCCAGTGCCCGACCTGGAGGAACCACTTCCTTATGCCTCAGAGCCACTGCTGGCAGCTCTGCGCTTCCGCTTCCATGGGGATGCCCGCGGAGGGAGGCTGCGGCCCTAACAAGGCCACATTCCCTTCTCGGCTCTGGATTGCTGAGCTCCGTCCTTCATTCACACGGCCCACCCCGTAGTCGGGGAGATGAAGGCAGAAATGGAGCTCAGAGAATCAGGTGACCTGCGCTGGGCATCTGGTGAAGCGAAGCCCAGTGTGACATTCCGTGCAGGGGGCGGGGGCCGCATGGCTGCAGGAGGCTGACGAGGACAGCCTGGCTCAGGTCCTCACTCAAGCCATCGCACGCAGCCCGAGGAGAGGTTCTGGAGAATTTAAGGACGGTGAAAGTGGCGTGGGCTGTGTTGTAAGGTTAGGACACTTTCCACTGTGGTTCGTGGCACGGTCCCGACCTTACAAGAGGTGCACAGGGTGGCCCACCTGTGGCTTCAGCTGTGTCCCTGCACTATGGGCCTCTCCCACTGCTGGCCGCCATCAGTGAGTGTCCTCTCTGAACTCCAATCAGAACACCTGGTGCCATTGGGCGGCACTTCTCAGTCTTTCCAGGAATGGCACCGTTCTCAGTGTCCCAGAGAGAGGTTAGCTGGTGACGTTCTCTGGGCTCAGTGGAGGAACAGGGGACAGGCCTCAGCCCTGGGACCCCAGTTAGGTGGGCACGGTGTGATATGGCCGTTCCTGGATGAGGTGGTGTGCATTTTGCTTTTGTCTTTTTAAATGGATTTCTCTGCTTCTCTCTGCTTCTTATTTTCCTACAACGTAATCCTTAACTAAAAGCCTCAGAACCCAAGCGTGCGAGCCAGCCCGTCCCCAAACAGGCAGGCTCGTTGCCCACATCTGTTTGCTGCATCAGCACCCACTGCGCTGTTCTCTGGGTGCTTTGACATTGAACTAAGTCCATGGTGAGACTGAAGGCCTCTGAGGCCTGCCACGGTCAGCCCGTGACCTGCCCCTGCCGTTCTGCAGTACCACAGCAGCCTGGCGTCCCTTAATGGGCTGGAAGTCCACCTGAAGGAGACACTGCCCGTTGACGAGGCCGGTCCCCCCAGCAACGCCTACAACTTCACACATTATGACCGCGTTCAGAGCCTGCTGACGGGTAAGGAGCCAGGACGGGGCAGGGCTGGGCCACACGTGTCTTCCAGGGGGAGGGGACAGCTTGGCCCTGCTGTGCTGGCTCTACTCCCCGGAGCCCAGCCTTTCTTGTGGCTGGGTCACTGCATACGTTTCTTTGCCCCTTGGTGTTTCTGTGTTTCCTCAATGTTGGAGAGAAACTCACATGTGCTCAGGTGGCTGTGGTAAGGTCTGCCCCAGAACTGAGGTCCCCGTGCAGAGCTGGGTTTGACTTGAGGGGCAGGGACAGGCGGTGTTGGTTTGGACCCAGTGCTGGGCTTGTTTCTGTCCCCAGCTGGGCATCCGTACGCTATCCACGGTCATTTGCCACCCCTGTCCTGTGACTTAGGGCTTAGAGAGGGAAGGGCGGGGAGGGGTCTGCGGCTCATGACCTGTGTCTTTGCCTCTGGAAGCAAACCTGCCGCAGGTGGCCGACCCCCAGGATCGCCGCTTCCTGCAGACTGTCAGCCTAATGCATTCCGACTTTGCCCGGCTGCCCTCGCTCTACGAGGTGACCATCAGGTGAGCCTCCCCAGCCGTGCCCCACTGCCACCCACTGTCCACTGTCCTCCCTCAGACCCGGTGACAGAACCCGGGGTCCTCACTGTCACAGCTGTGCCCATTCCTGAGGTCAGACGCTGTCTCCTTGTCAGAAATCACGGTGAGATGACCTTGCTGAGTTTCTCATTTTTTAAAAAACAAAGCTCCTGACAACAAACTCGGAGTGGTCAGAAGTCCATGAAGTGACTCGTGTTCCTCCTGTCCCCACCATGCCCCGGGAAGGGAGCACTTCCAGGTTGCCTCAGGTGCTCTGCGGTTGGTTCTTGGGTCTCGTGTTCTGATTTTTCCATTTCAGCCGGTTGTGCACCGCGCTGGTTTCCGCTTGGCTTTTCTCAGTGGTTACCACGTGGAAGGTGTACACCGGGATGCGCGCGACCTCTGCACACGCGCTCAGTGCGTCTTGCTTACATTCCCGTCCTCACGCCGCCACCTGCCCACTTTGTGCTGCCTGGCACCGTCCTGGTGTGTGCTGCGTGTGGCTGTGACTTGGGTGATTTACATCTGAAGTCACCGGCTTGGGACCTGGGTGCGTTGGGAGGCTGTTCTGTGAGAGGTGACACCAAGGGACATTTGCTCCACCAGCCACTGCATGGCTGTGGCACTTCACCTCCCCTGGAGCCAAGGAGGCTTAATGTTGGGGTGCAGACCCCTGAGGTTAGTTCTGCAGTAATGGAGGCACAGCTGCTACATCTTAACCCTCACCGCGAGTTAATAAAGTTACGTGATCTGGGCAAAGTGGTGCACGCCTGTAATCCCAGCTGCTCAGGAGGCAGAGATCAGGAGGATCAAGGTTCAAAGCCAGCCCGGACAGATAGTTCGCAAGATCAACCCATCACAAAAAAGGACTGGTGGAATGGCTCAAGGTGTAGGCCCTGAGTTCAAACCCCAGTACCGCAAAAAAACAAACTCTCACACATACTTAAAAGCACCCTCAATGGGGGGACGCCCCGTGGTCCTGTCCATTATGAGCTGAAGGAGCGAGAACTCAGGCTGGCCTGTGGCTGGGCAGAAGTAGAGCTGGGGTTAGCACCCAGCGTGTGACTCAGATCCGAGCTGGTGCTGCTTGTGCTGCTGGAGGTCACAACCCCAGAGGGAGCTGGGCTCTTGGTCCCTGACACCCTCCTTCGAGGTCTAGGACAGCTGGTTGACACAGGTAAGTGGTCGCCAGGTCTACTGGTTGGTGCAGTTTCCCCTCCCTTCGGCCTCTGTGTGCTGGGCTCCGGTGTGTCACGCCACACCCACTCTAATGTCCCTTGCTGCCCAGTTCATCAGCTTCCCTGTGTTGAGAAAATAGACCCTCCTGGGACCTGCCATTGTGACATCATTGGGGGGCAGTCTCAGCCTGAGTCTGGGGTCTGGGGGTGTCCAGGGTGACAAGGACACCCTGCTTGTTGGAGAATTGCAGCCTCAGGCCCGGGCTATAGCCACCACAGACAGCCCATCACGGGCCCCAGTGAGCCCAGGGACGGGAAGATGGTGGTGGCACTGAGGACCCCAGGCCCTGCAGGGGCAGCACAACCTCTGCGTGCCAGGCTTCTGGTCCAGAGCCGCCACCAGGCTGTCCTCCCCACAGGAACGCGTCCACAGCCGTGTACGCCTGCTGCAACCCCGCCCAGGAGACGTACTTCCAGCAGCTGGCGGCCGCAGCTCGGGGGTCCGGCTTCCCGAACCCCCAGGACGGCGCCTTCAGCCTCGCGGGCAGAGCCAGGCAGAGACTGCTGAAGCACGGGGTGAACCTGCTGTGAAGTGTGCCCCCGCCGGGTCCCCAAACAACAGACAGGACAGGACAGGTGCCAGCCACGGAGGTGAACCGGGCCCCCGCCCTGCTCCCTGCCAGGATGAGTGCAGGTCGGCACGTCTGTCCCTGTGGAGGCCCCGTTTGTCTCGCAGGAAGATGGCGCTCCGTGTGCTGGTTGGAATGTGCGCGAAGGGCCGTTCTTGGGGTCACCGGACAGCGTGGTGGAGGCCAATGGAACTTGACCCAGTACAGGGCTGAGCTGTTAAGCCTGGGGTGCGGGCAGCTGGACAGCTGTCCCTCTGAGCGAGGTCTCTAGGTGGGCATCCCCCTGATGGCCTGGGCAGGCAGGCTGTGTGAAAACAGAGGCGTCATTGCCGTTCCCGAGGCCATGTGGCACCGCATGCATCTGCCCTGTGGTGCTTTGTGACACGTGGTGTGGGGCATGGGTGGCATCAGTCACGCTGGCCGAGAAACCCAGCTGCCGTGGGCATCGTGGGGACCTGCGTCGGCCAGCGGCGAGGGGTGCGCCATGGGGTCTTCCCGGAAACAAGTTTCCAAAGGCTAACAATAAAGTGACAAAGCCACTGACGTGACTCAACAGCACATGTCCAGGAGCAGTGTCCAGGCGAGGGTTGAGGTTCTGTATGGGTGTGGCCAGCGACATCGCACACTGCACGCAGAGGTGGGCAGTGGTGCTGAGGGTGACGGTGCAGTGTCTCTCCCGTTGGTGCTCAGCGGAGCCCATGACACGAGTGCCAGCCACGTCTCCCCGTGGACTCACATTTCCCCTTCCCTGTGGGGGCTGTGTGGGTCAGGATGGCCTGTCTGTGAGGGATGTGAGCTGCGGCCACCGCCCCAGGCAGTGCCTCCTCTGTCCCTCCCCTCCCCAGCGTCCCTCAGCCACCGGCACCCCACCCGGTCCCTGCCTGTGGCAGCTTTTCCTGAGTCCCCGGCCTTGACCTTGGCGGGGCCACAGGCTGTTGTGTCACAGAATTGGGAGCCTGAGCTCTGCCTGCAGTAGCTCCACCGCCTTGGGCATGGACTCTTCCAGCAGGCTGCTCCCCAGGCAGTGTCACCACTGTCCTCCGCCCCCAGCCCTCAGCCCGGCCTGCTCCAAGCCCTGCTTTGCTTTCCCCGGCAGCTTAGCGCCTGCGTGTGGCTGTTTGTAGGGACCAGTGCTGTCCTGAGAACAGCCCAGGGCCAGGATTGGTGGTGCACGCCTGGAATCCCAGCTACTTGTGGTGCAGAGGCGGGAGGATTGCAAGTGTGAGGCCCCATCTGAAAGGCGAGAAGCAAAACGGCTGGCGGAGTGGCTCAAGCGGTAAAGCACCCGCCTGGCAAGCACGAGGCCCTGAGTTGAAATCCCGGTACTGCAAGGAGGAGAAAGAAACAGACCCCAGAATCGCAGGGCTGCGTGAATCTCGTGCTTAGGGCGTTGAGAGAGCGTCCCCAGCATTTCCCTGCAAGTGAGGCCCCCTGAGCCACGGCTGCATCCAGGGGTCCACTGCTAACGTGGCGGGGGAGAGGGCTTGACTTAAGGGAGGCCAGCAAAGCAGTTGGACAGTTTGCATCTCTCCCGGGTGGGGGCGCCAGCTGCCCCCTATGGCGAGAGGGGGTCCTCCAGCCCCGTCCCCACCACCCCAGCTGGCTGCAGGTGGTGAACCAGGCCACCACGCCAGACCTTCCCGAGGGTGCCAACCCTCGCAGGCGTGATGATGACATCAGTTCTGAGCCTCTCCGGGGTCACTGTTACGCGGTAGGGCACGGACACGCGTGCAGGGCCACCTCCCGCCCGTCCCCAGCCCGTGTTCCTGGGGGCTAAGGTCAGCCCAGCCGAGCAAGCGCGGCGTCCTGCGTTCTGTGCTCAGAGCCTGCACCCTCGAGGGCCGGACGGCCAGCTTCTCATCCCAGCTCCTCTGCGGGATGCGACGTTCACAGCCTGTGACGTGGCTCAGTGACACGTGGCTCAGTGACGCTGTCCTCTGCACTTTGCAGAGGCCCATCCGGTAGAGGCTGGGCGGGGGAGACCCCAGTTCCTAACAAGTGACGCGTGGTCCTGGGGGGCCGCGGCGGGCAGCAGTGGTCGTGGGAGGAGCGAGGTCAAGGTCAGCTCCGCACAGCCCAGGGCCTTGTCCCTCAGTGGCCGTGCATGCGGTGAGCCTCCTGCGGCTGCCACGGGGGAGCTGGTGAATCCCGGCCAGATGTGGCGGGGGAGCCCCTGAACCCGCCCACTGGCTGAGAGGCTGGGGAAACGCGGGTGGCTTTCCTTCCACTCCGCGTCTTTGGTCCCGGGTCGATCAGCCATGGGGGCTCTGCCAGTCCCCTCCGAGCCCCTGGGACCTGGTGGCCGCAGGTGACCTCTCCAGAGCCTGGTGACTGGCCTGAGGCTGCTCCCGGCTTCCCCAGCGTGACGGTCACACTGCAGTTAGGTCCAGAGACGGATGTCGGACATCAGGCCTTCAGAACCGGGAGCGTGTGGTCTGGTTGCTTCGGCCACCAAGTTGGTAGTGACTCCTTACAGTGGCCACAGCAGTGAGTCCACCCACCTGCAAACGTGACCCTGCCCTGGGGACGCCGGGCACCCGTGGGGGATGGAGAGGTGGGCCCCGGAGGACCTTGCGGGGTTGCTGTGACGGCCCCCGCTCCTGAGTGTGCGAGAAGCGGGGTGAGATTGGGACCCTCGGAAGGCTGGGGTGTAGCCAGGTACAGGGTGCATGCCTGTAATCCCAGCACTCTGGAGGTGGAGGCGGGAGGGCGGCTGTCTGAAGCCAGCCTGGGTGAAAGCGCCAGACCCCATCTGAAAAGCCACCTGCCCAAGCACGAGGCCCTGAGTTCAAACCCCCGCGCTGCCTCTCCCCACACCCCGAAAAGGCTGGAGTGAGTTGTGCAGGGCGGCTGGACAGTGGGCGCTGTGAGGAGGACTCGGGAGGGGACATTTGGGAGGGGACACATGCACTCGATGACAGGCCGATGAGCTCCCGCAGGGCACTGAGGACACACGCCCTGCGGTGCGATCCGCGGGCTCACTGCGGCCACTGTCTAGACAAAGGGGAACAATGGCCTGTCCCTTCTGTGCCTTTGCCGTGGCAGAGGGAGCCCACTGTGTTCCTCACCTGCCAGACACTGCCTGCCACCAAGGTGGCGGTGACAGGTCCAGTGACTGGGTCGAGGTGACGAGGGAGTGACATCCCTGCACTGAGACCTCAGCTTTCCCGAGCCGAAGTCCTTGTTCTTCAGCATTGCGGTGGCTCGTTCCCCACCCGGGCCACAGCGTCAGTCCCAGGACAGCCACAGGGGACGGCCACAGCGTCCCCTCCCTGCCCAGCTGCCCCTCCCCACAGAGCACCTGAGGCTCCGCTGGCTTCAGCAGGTTCCTTTATTTATCTTCTGTTCCCCACCATGTCGCCCGAGGGCCAGGGGCAGGCACAGGGTGGACGTCATGCACCTTGGGGCTGCGACACGGCACTCACTGGTGACGTGGACACTGGGGGTTGGACACTTCTGCTGCCTCTGCCTCTTAATCACTGGGAAAAGTCAGTGACGTTTTACTCAAAGGGACAAGGACCTTGCAGGAGCTGCCGGTTGGCCTTTGGGTGGGAACATGGGACCGTGACCTGCTGCCGGGCTGCACCCCGACCTGCCATGGGACGCTGCTCCCAAACGGCTACTCGAGCGTGGCCCACTGTCCACTGGCACGACCACGGGGACCATGGGGCCTGTCTGTCCCCCCGCGTCCTCACACGCACTGGCTTGGTGACGGTCACTAAGCGTCCCCTGTGTGATGACAGACAGGACTCCTGCTGAGGCCAGGATTCCAACATTGATGTACAAAGGGAAACTGAGGCGACGACCCCAAAGCGAGACAGACACTTTGGTGGCATCGAGGGTTTTGCCAGAGGGGTTTCCGCGGTGTGGCTGGGTGACCAGAGCGCCAACCCGGAGGTCCTGGCATTCACGCTGGCCTCTGACCGCCACTGCGAGGACGTGTACAGGCCTGGGCTGGCGGTAGGGACCCTGTAGGCAGTGAGGTAAGCGGCCCGGTTGTGGGGGACCCGGGTCCGGGAGCCCCACTGGGCTCCTGGGACAGCTCAGAGCTGCGGGGTGACAGTGAGATATGACTTTCCCAGGGCCACCAACGACACTGGCCGGTACTGGACTGCAGACGTCCCTGCCCCGGGGCCCCTCAGGCTGCACCCACTGGCTTGCGTTTCCCGCTCTCAAGGTGACCACAAGAAGTTTGCGTGGTCAGTCAGGTGGCCGCGTGAGGCTCTCAGGACTGAAGACACCAGGCAGCGATGTGACAGGACAGACGGATGAGGCGTTTCTGGTCACGGCCCGTGGGTGCACTGTGACCAGCGACGGTGGGAGGACAAGTGGGGTCCGTGGAGTCTGGGCGAGACCACGGCCACGACCACCAGAGCAGCGGGAGGTCGGGGACACTCCCCGCCCCGTGGACGCGGTCTTGCAGGTGGCTTCGGGCCGGGCGGGACTGTCCCATGCTCTGCCTGGACTCGCCGCCCTGGCCACGCTCACCGCCCTGGAGCAAAGATGAAGTCCAGAGCCTGCCGCTCCGCAGCTGCGACATTGGGGTGCCACAAGTCCACCATGAAGACCACCCGGGGGCCGTCCTCGGCCGCGCCTGTGGAGGGGGAGGCAAGAGGTCAGGTGGCCCAGGCGCTCGCTGTCCCCAGCCACCCGGTCAGAAGGCCTCCCTTCCTTGACAGTGCTGGGCAGGTGGCCTCATGCGATTCTGGCCAACGGGGTTGGGGACGCGGGGGCCACACAGGACCTGAGGGGCAGGGAAGGCCGTGGGCGACACTGTCCCAGTGGCTCGCGCAGGCACGTGTTTGTCACAACCCACAGGACGCGTGACACCGACAGGGAGCCCTGGGTAAACCGAGGCCCTCAGGTGACAGCGCGGAGCGGGGCAGGGAGCGCGAAGGGAAGCAGCGCGTGGGGGGACCCGGTCTTTAGGGAGGAATGGCGTCCACTGGCCGCACCGAGGGACGGAGGGGCCACGCGGGGCCACGCCGCCCACCTCCGTGGAACGCGGTGTGCAGGAAGGAGTCGTCGAAGAGCAGGCAGCGGCCCTCGGCCCAGCACTGGGGCTCGCCGCCCACCACCAGCTCGCAGCCGCCCGGCGTCTTCAGGCCTGGGGAGACACGGAGGGGTCAGCGCCGGGCGCTCGGTGCCTGTGCCCGGCCAGCCTCACACCGCTGCCGGTGCCGCGGCCTGGGACCTCAGTGGCCAGGGCACCCAGGCGGGCGACGGCGGGGACCCGCCTCTGTGGCCTCCGCAGGTCTGACCTGGGCTCCGGGGCTGAAGGCCACCGGCCAAGGCTTCTGCTGAGACCCCGAAGCCCGGGCCCGGCAGCCCGCGAAGTCAAGGAAGCCAGGTTCGGCCCGGGGCCCAAGCGGCCTCTAAGCCCCTGGAGGTCAGGGATGAGAGGCTGAGCCTCCCGGCCTCCCCCCCCCTTAACCTGGAGGGACAGCGGGGCCTGGGCCAGCCACCGGCTCCAGTGCAAGTGGTGAGGCCCAAGCCTCATGCATCGCCCTGCGGGCCGCTGGACCGTGTGGGGACAGTGTGTGGCCGAGTGTCCTCACCCCCAGCGCAAGGCCCTGCAGCAGTCTCAGCCCTACAGCGTGAGCCACCGTGAAGGTGCAAGAGGAGGCCGGGAGGCCGGAGCCGGGACGGTGGCTACCTCCTGGTCTTCAGCAACAAACTGTGACCACGATGACCCTGTGCACAGCAGCATCCCGCCCCAATCTAATTTCCTGTGACAAAAATGCTGTCACTGTCCTTGACCCAGAATGATGTCCCCAGGAAGAGACCACAGGGGAGAGGAGTGACAGGACTTGGGCAGACGGTGGTCTCCGACCCTTGTGTGCAGTGTGACTGTGCAAGTCACCCACCCTGTCTTCCCTGTCATCTACAAAGAGGGGACATCTGCACATTTACCTGCCAAGCCTGCTTTTATCCTTGTTGCCAATACCTAAAGAGCTCCGCAGTTTTGTGCTGAAGACCCCGCAAGGGCCAGGCGTGGCGGTGAACACCTGTAATCCCAGTGCTCGGGAGGCCGAGGTAGGAGGATCAAGGACCAACCCAGTCTTGGCAAAAACCCAAGACCAAATTTGAAAAACTACGGCAAAAAAGTGTTGAGCACCTGCCTAGCGTGAGGTCCTGAGTTCAAGCCCCAGCACTGACCCCAACCCCACACAAGCAAACAAGAGACACGCTGCAGACGGAGCAGCTGAGCAGCGCGGGGTCAGCAGAGGCCACCGCATGGTCCCCCGGGATGACGCTGTTCGGTGCCTGCGACTCTTTCCAGCCGGGCACCAGGTGTGAGCGCCGGCTCCCTCCTGAGCTCCAGCGCCGCGTCCTCGCCTCTGTCGCGCTCGCCACCGGCCAGCGTCTCTCCGCGGGCCCTGCCTGGCTTTGCTGGAGGAAAGGGCGCCTCTTCCTCTGGTCACCAAATGCCACTAAATGACTCATTGTGTGCTGTGATGCAGGACAGAAGGGGCCTGTCCCCTGCTTCCTGTCCTCCCCTTCCCTGCCTTCTGCCCCTGCCTGCCCACGGCCCACCACGCTGGCCATGACCGCAAACGGCTTAGAGCGTGAGGGTCACTACTTCCCTGTTGGGGCCCCACGCTTGGCCCTGGCCCCTGTGGCTCCTGCTGTGTCCCCAGCAGCCCCAAAGGAAGCAGGACGAAGGGCTCTGTCCCCACTCCGGGAGGCCAGTGTGCCAGGGAGGGCGGTGCCACAGCCCCACGGCTCCAGCATCTGCGGGAAACGCGGCCCGGCTGTGTACTGAGTCCCCAGGACCCGTGTCCCCGGGAGCCCAGCGTCTGGACTCCGTGGTCCTGGGCTCGTCCCTGCAGGAGCGCAGAGCAGCGCTGGGCACCACGGCCGGGCAGGGGACAGCCTGGCTGGAGGGACCAGGCAGACACAGGCCCAGGGGTCAGCTCCCTGCCTCGGCCAGGGACCGAGCAGAGCAGCTGCCCTTCAGACGTCCTCGGCCAAGACAGCTCAGCCTGGCTTCCTTCCTGGGCCTGGTGGACAGGGACAGGGACTTCCAGGAGGGCTCGCAGGGGTTCCCGGGACACTCGTCTGGCAGCGAGCAGCGGCCAAGAGGGAAAGAGGCCGAGAGCGCGACCGTATGCAGCAGGCGCCGTGAAGGTGCAGGGCCACCCTGTGCACGCCCTGCCCAGGACCCCACTCCAGCGGCACTGCCCTGAAAGCCACGCAGCTGGGGACAAGGACAGCCCGCCTCGCCCAGGTCCCACCCCATCACGGCCTCACACAGAACAAAACCAAGCGCCAGGAAAACTTCCAAAAGCAGCGCACGGTCCGTTCCGAGTCCTGCCTGTCTGCCTCGGCCAGGCCACCAGGGTCCACGAGGGAAGTCTGGTGGCCCTGCCCCTCGCCATCACCGTGGGCCCCCACGGTTGGCCGCACCTGCCCAGAGCTGCCTGCAGTCCCAGCTCCACTGGGGGCCAGTGTCACCGACCAAGGCCACTGCCCACCCGTGCCCCCCACACATCGCCACTGCCCCGCGGATGTCTCGTCACCTCTTCTGCAGAGGTGACTGCGGGTGGCTCCAGCCAACGTGGTGTGGGTGACAACAGCCACAACCCACCAGGGATCGAACGTGGTCACATGCTGGCGCTGTGCCAGGTGGCCACTGCCGCTGTGACCTGCTGAGGCCTCTCAGCACTGCCGCGGTGGACGTGCTGTGTCCCCATGCTGCAGATGAGGCACTGAAGCCGAGGAATATCCAGACCCCAGCCTCCAGCCTCTGCCCTGTCCTCCCTCCACCACGTGACTGCAGCCATGTCACCTTCTGTCCCAGTCCCGCCTTCCTCAGTGTCCCACCCAGGGCCCCAGCTGCTCAGTGACCAGTGTGGGGCCCAGCCCACCTCAGGCTGTCCAGGTGCAGCGAAGCTTCTGCGGGACACACTGGGAGACCCGGGTCCTGCTGCACAGGGAGCCTCTCCCCGCTTCTGCATGGGGACCCTCTTCTGGGTGCCCAGGGGAGCCTCCTGCCCCCCACCGCGCAGGAGTGGACACCCGGCCTCTTTTTCTTTCTTTTGGGGCAATACTGGGGTTTAAACTCAGGGCATTGTGCACTGCCACTTGGGCCATGGCCGTCCTTTTTGCTTCAGCATTTTTTTTTTTCAGGTAAGATCTCAAGTTTTGCCCAGGACCAGCCTGGACTGTGATCGTCCTACTTCCTCCTCCCATGCCGCTGGGACAGGCATGCATTACTATGCCCGTCTGTGTGGTTGAGATGGGGTCTCTCTTAAGTGTTTGCCTAGCCCTGCCTCAAACTGTGATCCTCCCTATCTCCCCCTACAAGTGGCTGGGACTGCAGGCATGATCTGTTGTACCCAGATCCTGCAAACTTGTTTTCTTGGCTGTACTGGGGTTTGAACTCAGGGCCTCACGCTCGCTGGGCGGGCTCTAGCACTGAGCTGCTCCGCCAGGCTGGGACATTCTTTCACTTGGCGCAGCTGGGAGAGCTCAGGCTCGGGGCTGGGGTGCGGCCCAGCGGCAGAGCGCATGCTTGGCGTGCTGGGGGCCCTGTGCCCGCAGCACAGGACCACAGGTCCGCGTGGCCGTGGCCGTGGCCTGGCCGGAGCCCCCGACGTACCTAGGTGGCAGCGGAGGCGGATGTTGGTGGGCCCGTAGTGCTCGGCAATGACGGTGCCCGGGCTGAGCACGGACAGGCACGCGTTCCCGAACACGTTGCTGGCGAGGCAGGTGCGCAGGCTGCCGAGCAGGCGGTACGTCCGTGGGCACCTCCTGCAGTTGCCGGCCACGCACACGCCCCGGCTCACGAGCGGGAAGGTGAGCCAGTCCCCGCGGGCCGTGCTGTTGGCCCTCCAGCCCTGCGGCAGGCTGCAGTTGGAGAAGGCCTTGGACAGGGCCTCGAACTCGCCGAGCACCGTCGGGAAGCCGCGCTCCAGCAGCTCCACGTCGTGCTTCTGCGCGTCGCGGGGGAAGTAGGGCGCCGTGGGCAGGTCGGGCAGGAAGAAGACCTCGGGCTTCTGGATGGCCGGCCGGCCGCGCAAGAAGCGGCCCTGCTCGCGGACGCCCTTGTGGACGCGGCCCATGCCGGCCCACGAGTAGCGCTTGGCGTACTCCTGCAGCCCCGCGTACAGCCTGTGGTCCAGGCCGTCGCCGTGCGCACAGCGCGCGCAGGCCGGGGCCCCGCAGCACTCGAACCCGCGCCCCGGCCGCGCCCGCCCGCGCCCGGCACCAGGGCCGCCACGGCCGCGTGGGGCCGCGGCTGCTCCCGGCCCACGTGGTAGCAGTACCACACGAACAGCACCAGCAGGCAGGCCACGGTGACCGCGGCCGTGCTGTCGCAGTCCCGCACGGACTGGATGCCCGCGCCGATGCGCTCCCGCAGGCCGTCCAGCGACCAGCTCCAGGCCCCCAGCCACTCCGGCAACATCGTGGGGGCCCGTGCCGCGGAGCCCGGTCACTCGATCAGGCCTCTGGGGTCCCCAGGGCAGCCACGCCACGCGGGTCAGCGCGGGAGGCCAGGGGCGTCTGCGGCCGCGGGAGGCATGGCTGCCACTGACCCTCGGCTCCCGCCAAGGCTGGCATTGAATGACAACAAGGCCGGTGCCCCTGCCGCAGGGTGGACGGAGCTGGTTGGCGTCAGGTTACCGAGCGCACGCGGTCACTGGTCACTGGTCACCGTGCCAGGGCTGGAGGGAGTCCACACCTGGCGTGAGAAAGGAGAAAGAAGACAGTGCAAGCGCCACACCTGGGAAAGCCCTCCGCGGACAGCTAACGTCCCTGCTCGCCGTCCAAGGCCCCCGCTGCCATCCTGTGTGCTCCCACTGCATCCTGCCAGCACCCCGGGTCACACAGGCCCCGCTAGTTCGCCTACACTAGGGACCTCTGATAACTGCAGCCGCCCTCCCTGCTTCGTGCTGTCCACAGCAGGCGTCACAGAGCCCACTGCACAGATGAGACAACCGAGGCCCAGAGCAGACCGGTCCTACAGGTCACCGCGGTCACAGCCAGGACACGCGCTCCACCTGCCTTCAAAGCCAAGGTCTAAACACCACGCTGCTCGAGTGTCTCACAGGCTTTTCCTTCTTCGACCTCTGTACCGGTACCAAAAAGGAACAGGGCTTCCCAACGCTCTCTTTTCTTTTTTTTTGGCGGCACTGGGGTTTGAACTCAAGGCCTTGCCTTTAGGCGGCCACTCTACCACTTGAGCCACTCCGCCAGCCCTTTTCTGCGATGGGATTTTTCGAGATGGGGTCTCACAAACTATTTCTGGCTTTGAACCGTGATCCCGCTATCTCTGCCTCCTGAGTGACTGGGATTACAGGCGTGAGCCAGTGCCTGGCCCAAAGCATCTTAAAATCTGCCCAGGGCCTTTACACGTCACGTGCCTTGCTCCCCTCAGCGCCCACCGTGCCCATTTACCTGGTGGCCCTGCCACAGGGCTGGGCTGCTGTGCAGTTGAGGAGCAGGTGAGCTCTGCGGTCACAGCCATGCCAGCCATGGGGCATTTTTGTCTCAGGAGTTATGAAAGTGAAGTGATGGGGTGGAATGGAAGTGGAAGCCCTTCTAGGCCCTGACTCAGTTTCCCCTGTGTGGCAGCAGTGACCACAAGCTTCCAGACAGACAGAACTGCTCTTGCTGGGGGCGGGGCCAGGACTAGCAGCCCGGAAGTGGCCGGCCAGAGCCCGGCTGTGGCTCTCCGTTTCTCCTCATCAGTCCTGCTTCCTTCCCACCGTGGCACAGACACCCTGACCTCCCTCGAGTCTGAGAGGACACAGCTGAGGACTCAGTCCTCCTGAGTCTGTGACTATGCGGGGACACCTAAGCAGAAAGGAAAAGTGCAGCCCCCTTTCCCGGAGACCAACGGGGGGCAGCACAACAGAGAAGCTGTGGACCAGACTGGACACGGGCTGGCCACTGCCCGTGGCCAAGCCTCAGGGTCCTCACTCCTGGAAGGGTTCACGGCCTCTCCCCCGAAGATGCTCATAGACATGGAAGCAGTGACAACGGTGACCAAGTGAGCCACTGTGCATGCTGCTGACCACCCGGGCCCATGGCGTCCCACGTGGATCAACCAGCAGAGCAAAGGTGGACATGGACGGGAGCTCAAGATTTCCAACGTAAACATAAATGCAAGCGCCGACGGAAGGAGTTTCTGCCCCAGACTTGCTGAGCGTGACAGGAAAAGACAGACACTGGGTGTCACCAACTGCCTAGTGGCTTCTTCCGTGTCAGTCGAATAAGGAACTACGGTGTTCAGGAAGTCAAAACCACGCACACTGAATATTCATGGGATTTTCTTAAGTTTCTAGGAAAAATACAAGAGTGGGGCTCCATCTTCGTTCCCATCTCTCCACCTCTTCCCAGGTGCGGAAGAGGGAGCGGCTGGGCCCCTGGACGCTAAGACCCTCGCTCTCGCCCCAGTTACAAAATCAAGACAGCTCTCTCCTCTCTAGGAGGTGGGAAGCTCCAATGGTTTCTTAGCACCCTGAACAGAGCCCCAGGACTCCTGAAATCCAGGTGTGACAGTCATCCCGTGACAACAAGCACTTCCAGGAACGGGTTCCCGCGGCCTGACCCCGAACTGCAGCTCAGGGGTGCCCAGCGTGCGCTCCCCTCAGCCTTGCTGATCGCTCCAGTTGAGGCGGATGAAAAAGCGGACACAGAAAACTGGGTGGGTGATGACGGGGTCTGTCCTTATCTGCACACAATTGTCCCAGAGCCCCCCCTCCCCCAGGGGGGACAGGGAAGGACAGCTCCAGCCCCTCCTCCCAGGAGCTAAGGTGGCCAGTCACCTGCCAGTCATACCTGCCAGTCACCTTTAGCCCTAAGAGCCTGGCAGACACTACACCAGAGAGGGACACACAGGTACACACATGCACACAGCTTATCTGTCACAATCAGCAAGTGACCGCTGATCAAACACTGAACGCTGAGAACCTCCCGGTGACCACCCTCAGCCCCCCAGCTCCTGGTCTCAGGGGTCACAGTAATTCCAGCTCTCTTCATACACCCTGCTCGTTCATGCTCCATTATTTCTGTCCCCACTGGGGCTGGGGACATCTCTCCACTTTGACAACCTGCAGCCTCACATCTTAAAGGTCAGCTGACTGTGGGGAACAGGCTCCAAGTTCAAGGCAAGTCGGACACAGCTTCTGGCACCATGGCTGCCTGGGGACACCTGCCAGGTTAACTCAGTTCATGACCAGCCCAGGAGGCCGCCCAGTGCTAAAGGGTGAGGCCAGCGGCCCTGGAAGCCCCTTCCCCCTCCCCCCCCCCAAGAGCGCTGGGCAACATGTGCCATGTGTGTCACCCTCTCCAGTCCCCAGGGGACAGCTCTGGGAACTGCCAGCCCTCCATGGGGACCTCCCCTCCCCGCTCTCCAGTGTCCTTCCCGGGAACAGGAAGCAGGGGAGGGGTGACCACCCAGGCTGGGGGTGAGCAGGGATGGGACAATGTGAGGACAGGTGTTCCTGGGAGGGAAGGCAGACTGTGGCACGTGATAACTCACGGGACGGGAGGCGGGTCACCTGGGGAACGTGAAAGTGGGTGACACTGGGACAGGGTGCGGGTGGGGGGAGGGTGGGTGGGTGAGGGGAGGACAGCCGTGTGGGGGGGACAAGTGGAGACGGGGGAACGGGAGGACGGGGATGGGGAGGAAAGGAGGGGACAAGAGGTGATGGGAGGACGGTGGGGTGGGGACAGGAGAACAGAAGGGGGGAGGATGGGGAGGACAGGGAAGAGACGGGAGGACAGGGGGCGGGGGACCCGGGGGACCGGGAGGACAGGTGGGGACAGGGGAGGGGGCTGGCGGGGAGGAGGAGATGGGGGAGGGGACCGCGGCGGGCGGGGAGGCGATGGAGATGGAGGTGGAGGAGGAGGAGGAGATGGAGACGCTGGGCCCCGTCGCGATCAGCCCCGTCAGCTGCACCCAGAACCCTGGCCGGGACGCGGGACGATGGACGCGGGTGGACGCAGCGCAGGCCCCGCCACCCCCGCTCGGGCCGCGCGCTCCGCCCCGGCGACGCCTCTTACCTGCGCCCGGGCGCGCGGGCGGCGGGGGCGGCTACAGGACCCAGGCGACGCCCCAGGCCGGGCCGTGCCGACGCCCCCTGCCCGCGCCGCGGGGGCCACCGCCCGGACGCTGCCCAGCCCACGCCGCCAGAGCCGAGCCGAGCCGAGCCGAGCCGAGCCGAGCCCGAGCCTACGCCGCGCCGCGCTCCGCGGGGCCTCCAGGACCACAACTCCCACAATGCCGCGCGCGCGCAGGGGGAAGGGGCGGGGCCGGGACCCCTGCGCGTGCACCTGCCGTGCGCGTGCACCTGAGGCCGGGCGCGCCCGCGGGGCTCGGTTCTCCTCTCTCTCCCTCGCTCTCGCTCGCTCGCTCGCTCTCTCATCCCTCCCGTCACTCTCCTCCCCCGTCCTCCCACGCCCTCGCCCCCGGCTTCGCTGTGGATGCGGCGCAGGCTCAGGCCGCGCGCTCGCGATGGATGCTCTGTGGTCCCCGGGCGCGGGGAGCTCATCCGTGCGCGCTCACGGGGACCGGGCGCTCCGTGTCCCCAGGTCCCCGGGTCCCCGTGGGGCCGCAGCACGCAGCCGAGGCGCGGGCGGGCTGGGTGGCCGGCACCTGTTGCGGGCTCCCGAGGACCAGGCGCGGCGGATCTGTCCCTGTTCTGACCTGCTGCCTCCGTGCGGGGCTCCTCTCCATCGCGCCCGAGCCCTCATTCCCCGTCCCGACCCCTCCCCCTCCCCGCCCGGACCCCTCCCCTCCCGGTCTCGACCCCTCCCCCTCCCCGTCCCGACCCCTCCCCCTCCCGCCCGGCCCATATTCACCCCCTTCCTATCCAGAGCTGACCCCTCTCTGTCCCAGACCCCTCCCCCTACACGACCCTCCCCCTCCCCTCCCCGCCCGGACCCTCCCCTCCCCGTCCCGACCCCTCCCCTCCCCGTCCCGACCCTCCCCTCCCGTCCAGACCCCTCCCCCTCCCGCCCGGACCCCTCCCTCCCGGTCTCGACCCTCCCTCCCCGTCTCGACCCCTCCCATCCCCGCCCGGCCCATATTCACCCCCTTCCCATCCAGAGCTGACCTCTCTCTGTCCCAGACCCCTCCCCCTACCCGACCCTCCCCCTCCCTCCCCGCCCGACCCCTCCCCTCCCCGTCCCGACCCCTCCCCTCCCCGTCCAGACCCCTCCCCTCCCGCCCGGACCCCTCCCTCCCGTCTCGACCCTCCCCCTCCCGCCCGGCCATATTCACCCCCTTCCCATCCAGAGCTGACCCCTCTCTGTCCCAGACCCTCCCCCTACACGACCATCCCCTTCCCCGCCCGGACCCTCCCTCCCCTACCCGACCCTCCCCCTCCCCGCCCGGACCCCTCCCCTCCCCGTCCTGACCCCTCCCTCCCGGTCCTCCCCCGCCCCTCCCTGACCTGA